TTCTGGTGGGTAAAGCTGTGAAATTAACTCAAGATATTCTTCTGACTTGTACGTATTACACAAATACTGTATGGTCTCATTAATAATCCTATAGCTGGAAGATAGCATTCAAAGATGGCATTTTATCCCTCTTCCATTCTGTGGTCATTTCGGTTTCAAGCATTAAACCTGGTAAAATACATAGTTTACGTGGGCAAAAACCCCTGCTGCCGGTGTATGACATTTTAAACTGATATTTCCAGGAAGATTAAAGCACAGAAGAAAATAACAGACAAAATGCGATGGAGCGCAATGAGAAAGAGGTAAGAGCAGGGCTTTTCGGTTACGTCCCTCCTGTTGGCAGAGTGTTAGTTTGACAGATTATTAGGGAAGAACGTAAGTAACTCGATATGGAAGTAATGGAGATCAGACACATTGACCAAGAGAAAAGGAATGACAGAAATAAACTAAACGAATTGCACAGTATTCGAACCAAAGAGCCACAGTAGGTATTTATTAAAGTGAAGCAAATCTGTTTAAAGGCTGTTTAAATTTAATCCAGAAGCAATCTGGGGACAAAAATGTTCCCACTGCATTGCTGTAATTAATAGTAAGCATGTTGAGACAGCTTATATAAACAATTGTAATCATTTGTCTGAAGGAGAAATAAGACAAAGAAATAATGTTAAAGTAAGATAAAAGTGAAAATCATTCAGATTGAAGCAGCTTAGGTAAAAATGGCAAAAGAAACATGGAGCAGACTCGTGGAACAATTTCGGTGGATAGTTAAGATAGAAATATTTGAAATATTTTTCCCTTTTTAAACAAATAAATGTGTATTGCGGCTGGAAATGTAAGAGAAAATCAACTGAACTGTTTAGCATTTTACAAGTACCAACATCACCACATCAGAATAGGAGTCAAGGAATGTTTGCTGAGGGGTCAGAGTGGGCTCAGGATGTTTTGTTTTTAACCCTCTTGGTTGAAGGCCAACACCCTGGTTGTAGGACAAGGAAGTCAAGTCTCCCTCACAGAGTGATGGAGCTGGGAGTTACTGCACAGGTGGAGGTAGGACAGAGGAGAGATGCAGAGGGACTCCTGATCCTTTAGTAATGTACTGTATTCAGCTGAGAAAATGGGTCACAAGCATTTTACTTCAGGAAAAAGGATGCTCTCGTCACACTAAAGACACACAAAAAAACTAAAAATCTGAATAATGTGTACAGTGTCCCAGGACACAGCTATAAAGCTATAACACTGCAGAACTTTACTACCATAATTTGCATTCATGTGAAATTGTCCACAATTAGACAAACAAATCTCTCTGTAGTTTAAGAGGATTGAACTGAAACACTTCTTTAACATTACCGTATAACCCTTTATCTGTCTCTCTTTGGGTCAGCCATAAGCTTGTTTTTATAATTTCACAATTTACTTTTTAAGTCATCTTTATCAAGTAATCACTGTCCGCCCCCATTGGTATTGCAGTCTGAACTGTGTCTGGTACAGAATCTCACTCCAATCTGCCAGACATCCCACTTCTAAAAAAATAAAAATAGGCAGTCAGAATGATAAAATCATAGGTTTAAAAGCATTTCAGATTTAAAAAAACTGGACCACATTCAGTATTACACAGTGATCTATGAATAAGCCAAAATCCCTTATAGGGCCAAACATGAGACAACCACTAGAGTACCATCAGTTTTTTTAAAAGAAGCCCAGGCGAGACACCTGTGGTCTTATTACTGTATATTGCCAGCTAGAGATACACCCCAACCCCACCCTGAAATCCTGACTGACTCCCCTGAAAGGTTTTGTGCAGCTTACTGTGTGAAAAATGGCACATGACTCAACAAAGCACTTATCAGAGGAAGCCATGCACAGTCCTCAACTTTTGCCTATTGGCAGGAAGGTAGGTACAGTAACAGCAAACTAGGTTGGATAATTTCTTTAAAGCATAAAAATAAAATTGCGTACATATTTCACAAAGAGGACAATGTGTCTTGTGATGTTGCCATATTGAATCCTGCACAGAAGTTAGCTATTTCCCAGAAAAACCTGTTCCCCCTCCCCCTGCCTGCCAGAGCCCGTGACATACTGTAGCTGCTCTAGAAGGTAATGTGAAATGTTTATTCGGATGAGTCCAGAAGTCGACTTGGAACTCTTAAACCATGTGATATAAAACAAGCAAAGCTTTGTCACGAGTCAATCCGTGTCAATGATTTATTTGCACATAGATGGAGCTGGGGGGAAGGAAGGGTGGGAGTTTTCCTATGACAGATTAATAAAAAGTAAAAAGAATTGAAATAAACCAGATACTCACTCCCCACTAAAACACAAGTGAAAGAAAAGCAGGGTCACACAAAAGGTACTTCAGGAGAACTGGACAAGGAAAACAACAAATTAATCATCACTGTTTATTCGTTAATTAATTAATTATTATTCATCCTCACTGTTTATTATTGTTATCAGTTCAGTGAAAATATGAACATGGATTCAGGTTTTAATTGAACATCTCGTTCTCTAACATTAAGACATTATTCATTTCCCCCTTTAAACTGGTGTCCTCTTTACCCCCTCTCTAACCAAGAACGTGCAGCTTTAATTTCAAGTGCAAGTTGCTGCTCTCATCATTCTGACAATACTAAGCAACATCCTATTCTCATATTCCAAGCTCTAATGCCTGGCTTATTTCTAAAACACCACTTCAGACTTGGAAGGGTGGGGAACAATGTAGAATATATGGCTATAATATGTGATTTGTTGGATTTTCTGTTTGGACAAAGCTTAATAAAACACAGAATGTATTCACAGGTGTACTGTATGAAGTAATTGGGGAATTCTCTTTAAAAAAAAAAACTCGTAACAGTTGCCAAGGTGTTGCCCAAACAGGCATGTGTATGATTTACAGGAATTAGATCAAGAATCCGGATGCAGTTAGTCAGGAAACTAAAAGCAGACAATATACTTAACAGTCATTAGAACAGTTCAGCTGAGTTCAGCAAGACAATGTCTCTCAGGCACTTGGTACAGTAGATCTCTGGCAATACCATGAGAAGAGATTAAAAGCTAACCAAAACCCTCCATAAGGAATAAATTGTATATGAACTGAAGTGTCACATCGTAATGAGAGCCTTATGTTATTCTGCCAGATTTAATTGATTACACAAAAAATGACTTTGCATAAAACCATCAGAAACTGGAGAGTATTTTCCGGAGGAATGTCTTTTATATATGAAACAATATAACTGTCACAAAAAAAGAGCTATTCCAGGAGACTTTAGTGTCTATTTGGAGTACTAGTGTACACAGACCATTTTTTGTGGTATTGAGTTTAGGAACATAGCCATACGAATTGGTCAAATACATCTAAGTTAAATTTAGGCAATAGTAATAAATATTTTCTCACCACAAAGTATGCAAACAGATGTTCTGACTACAGTGTCCAAGTAATGTATATCTGCCAATTAAATGTCAAGGACAGAGAAATGATTGTTATGATTGTCCCTCAATACATCTAAGTCTCTCCCAGGCCACAACAGCAGTAAAATAAAAAAATATAAAATATTTATCCACAGCAGCATATGGAATTTAAAATCTGAAAAGAAATCTAAAACTGAAGGATAAAAGACATTTAAGGCATTTAACTACCAAGAAACATACAGTACTAACACCCTACTAACACTCTTGTTCTGTATGGAATTCTTGTTTAATAAGAACGCTATGATGTTTTCTTCATTTCTAGTGAAAGATAGAAAGACTCTAAAAGATACACCAGTAAGGCAGGATAAATTCTTCTTCCTCATCCTTTAACCCATGTTTTCCCAAACAGAGGTTCAACAGTGTATGTACCTTCACTCTTGACAGGAGGAAGAGTCAAATCGTCACACAGTTAAATAGGAACACATTTAGACGATCTGTCCAAAACATCGTCAAGACACAAGAAACAATTTCACAACACTCTGTATTCAGTCACTGTCAAGAATTGATGAAATTCATTTCATTTCATTTGGGAAACCTAAACTAGATTAATAGTGATATATTTCATTTTCTAAGGGGGGAATAGGGAAACCTAGCAAGGAAACAGACAAAATGATCAAACTATCCTTGGAAAACCATGCGTGGATTTATTGTCCCAAAATCTGCATCGTGTTTAAAAAGCATTTTTTCATCCATATATACTGTACATACATTGCCCCCAAAATGTCTCACGGCACCAAATCCAATCCACATTTAAATTCAAAGAACACTTAAGAAAACCAGAAGATTCTCACTTTTTTGGACTGCAGCAATAATACAATTCACTAAGATGAGCTCCAGAATCTCATCATATAGCATATGTATGTAGTTTTCCAGTTTTCCCAAATTAAATGAGGAAAGTAAATTGTGAAACATCATAAAGGGGGCACACTGTGCAGAATCCCCCACCCCCCCGTAAAACAAAACATTGTTGGAAACCCTTTGTTCATCGTTTAGAAATTCACAACTGGTTCCCAGACAATATTGGGTAGATTTCAAGCAGCAGGATGACTATTACAGGCTGGTTAGTACAACTATTCCATTCCTCTAATTGTCACTTTTCTTCCCAGTTAATAAATCTACATGAAAGCTTTTTAGGGTCATAGTTTAGTAATTAAAAAACTGAGATGGCTGCATCCTGTACTTGGATAAGAGATTACAAAGAGTATCAAAGAATGAAATGTGACTCTTATTTTATTGTGACATTTCTAAAATGAAGTGTCATGATTAATTGCATTGCCAGAACATTTTATCTACCACAAAATGTCCATTTAATACTTAAGAAATAACAAGTCTGTTATGTCATTTCCTGTATTTGTTCCAATTAGTTATAATGAGGGTGCAGAAGTATGTTTGTACCACTGCCAAGGAAGGCTCCAGCACTTTCTGACACAATTCAATGAACAATAGTAAAACAAAAACAAGAAAATAAGAAAGAGGACACACTTTCTTAGCCTATCTTATTTCTTATCTGCTCGTGCACCCAAATGTTTCACCTCCAAGCATTCTGTATAAAGTCCTGTAAAGAGAGGGTGACTTTAAAAGCGTTTTGTGTTATACAGTAAGTGCTGCACGGCATGTGTTGTGCAATAGCTTACACACAAAAACATTTCTGCACACTATGAGATTTTGAGAAATCATATACAGTACTATTTACTTTCCTTCATGTATAACTTAGGATTGACAATAATAACTATCTACACTGAGACATTTTTGTAATTCGGTCAGACATCCAAAGCAAACAGTTTTTATTGTATTTTTCTATGGTACTGATGTGAGTAACAGTTCTGTAGCAACACTTAGTTATTTTTATACTATCTTATAAATTACTCACCACCCAGTTTCTGAATGGGAACAGGCTGCTTGCTTGTGGAGAGTTTCAGTTCCCTGTTACAAGACAGAAAAAAAAAACATTTTGGGTGACTTAGCCACAATCACACATTACAAAAGAAAGATATGCTTTAGATGCCTTTTGGTCAGGTTTTCTTTCCCTGTATCTGGTTATGCAGAGTCAATCTTTCCACAGACTGCTACTTTTGTAGATATTTTCTTTTCTATTTTCTTAATGATTAATATCTAAATTGAAAAACATTTCCTACTGCACGTTTAGTGGTAATTAGGGTCACAAGAAGCAGCCACAAAGGCAAACGTGCCCCCAATTACTATGTTCAGCTACTGTTTCAGCCCACTTTGCAGTATTTCCATTGAAGAAACATTTAAAATTATACAGTATAGCCTGGAAAAAAACACATAAAATGTGTGAATGTATATATTTTCTACATGATGCCATATTTTTTTCTCAGAACAATATCACTTCTCTAGAATGAATTACAAAGAAGGATGAATTACAAAATGTACATACAGTAGGAGCAATACAAACAAAGTTGTGCTAAATCTTAAGCCACTTAAATTTCACACTTAACATGGTGGGTTGTAACTTAATAAATTGTCTACTTTAAAGCTCTGTTTTACGTAATTTACAGGATCTAGGAAAACCTGAAACATACACTCAAATTTTATGTTACTCTGAAAAAAGTGGCCACAGGCACACCCAGAAGAATCATGTATTTAATCATTTTTTTGGAAAATGATGGTTTTGTTGCCTTTTTTTGGTCTGGGACAAGGAAACTCCAAGGTTTGTAGTCTGAGTAAATAATTACATGTCTGTACCAATGAGACTATCATTTAGGCACAGTTTAGCGCCAACATTCACATTCGTTTCAATGCCAACCAATACTGAGGGTTAATATCAATCTGAAAACACTGGTTTAAACAGTGACTTCTGGATTTTCAGGGGTTTTTTTTGGCTGCAAAATTATTTTTGATTATATGGTATTGGCGCCAAAGGTGCTCCAGAAATATTCTGATTTTTTCTTCCAAATGATAGTAAAATCACGAAGTTATTTTTTAAATTTTACTAAGTTATTGCATATTTAAAGATACACTCTGAGTGAAACGAAAGGTATAAATCATCTGTCAAGACACTTGGTCTTTAGAGCACTGCAGCAAACTGTTAAAATAAATTATACAGTATGTTTAAAGCTTTGAAACATCCAAACTGGAAATTTATGATGGGTGTTCCATGGTTTGGATTATGCTTGTGAACAATTACGTATACTGTAAATAATGTACTATACAGTCCAACATGTATGTTCAACATGTCCATCCACTACTTCAAACTACACCTTATCTGTAAGACTAGAACAGAAAACATATTAAAGGTACTTGTAGACTAAAAGTATGCATAAACACTTGATACAAATATTATTAAACCTAAATGAATACATATTTTCCTGCAAATGAAGCAGGTCTTCATACAATAAAATCCAAGACCCTAAACCATAATAACACTAAATTATATCCCATTTAAATGGTCAGTAATCTCACTTTTGAATTTTCTTTCTGCCTTTAATAATCGGAAATACATAAAAAAAATTGAATGGATTTGATTAGAGAGGAAAGCTTCACATTTATTTCCCAAACAATTGTTCTTGGTCAAATCCACATTTTGCCACTAGGGAAAAGCTGAAAGAATAAGGCTGCCGAGGCAAAAGGCAAACTCTATGATTGCACATCCACAGTTTTTAACAAAGCAGTTGGTTTGATGTGTGTCCTGGAGGCATCTTCCATTTCAAGGAAAGAAAGAAAACAATGTTCCACAGCTGGCCATTCCTGTTCACAGATTAAGATTTTAAGACAAGCATCTGGTTTTAAAGGGGAGAAAATCGAGGTTTTAAAAATCAGGCAAGTTCCTAAAAAAAAGTTCAAAAGTTTCCCCCCCCCCCAAAAAAAAATGAACAATCACATTTACACAGAAGGGTCAATCAAGGTTTTTTTTTTAATAACCTTGACTCTGATATAGGGTTAAATTTTTCTTTCCCATTATTGTTAAAAATTCATGTAATGTGGGTTATGTCACTCTGCCAAATATACCTTTGTTAATTACAAAGAATGTATAACATACATGACAACAACTAAACAACCTGCTATGAAATACTGTAATAAAGCAATGTGGCACTTAGGTTGCCGTAAAATGGATGAAACAACAATGTATAAAGAATGATTTGTGTGTAATATAGGTTCATCACTGACATCTGATTTATTTGTACTTCTAATTTAATTGGTTTCGGCCAATTTACTGAGTTAAAAGGATTTTTAATCCTCATTTAGTGAGAAACATGCTTTTGCTTATAGCCAAGAGCATCACAGTATTGAATTGTAAAACAACAACAGTATTAGCTATAGGTATGAAACAACAACAGTATTAGCAATAGGTTTGAAACAGCAACAGTATTACTTCAATTACGTTGATAGCAGGCAGAGTAAAAATAAGAATAAAAATGTTGCTGCAATTATAATAAATAATTTCACTGTCATGTAAAAACTGATAAATCTTTCGTAAGTGTTTAACAGGGAAGACATGTCCCTATATAAAGTTATGTATATGTCCTAAAGGTGTTTAGTTTTAACGGCAATGCCAAGATCTGAGAGGTGCAGAGCCATATAAACAAAAAAAAAATCGAAATCAGAAAACAAACTCATTTCTGCAGTACAACTCGTGGCTTCCTGGCAATACAGCAATGGGACCAGGAAGTCCTGCCTCTAGACTTGACAGGTAATCAGAAGAGCTACTTCTACAAAAGAAAATCAGCACAAAACCCTACACTGAAATTAGATTTATTATAAAACAAGGTTTGCAGTAATAATGATCCTAAAAATTCCCTTTGGGAATTAACAGGTTTTTAAAAAACATTCTTCATTAAATATCTAACATTAAATAAATATTTAACTACTGTATCTAATATTAAAATATTTTAATATATTTAATATTTATGCAAATATTTAAGATTAAATATCTCCTCATTAAATATCTAGGCTTCTCAAGCAGAGCCAGCAAGAAAGTGTCTTTTGGGCTGATTAGTGCTCCATTTATGTGATCTAAAACGTGAAAGCAATTCAAAATTTCAAAGAAACCAATTTCAGGTATATTCCCAAGTGAACGCCACTGTGCGAAAATTGGCTGGCTATGCCAGCCATCACCATTTCACTGCACAACACAGGGCGCACTTCACCCCAAGTTAAAATGCTGCCATCCTGACGGATAAAAAAAACAGGTTTAATAGTGAAACAGTAATGGGGGTGTACAGGATTTAAAAGAGAGAAGTGTTGATGGAGCAGGCATTTGAATGGGCTCTTGCTCACCCAGTTTTTCAGTTTAATAATAACCACAAGTGGGCAAACACTCATCAAAATAATTGTGCTTATAGTAATCAACAGGACACTCAGGAATCGGGGAGGATGAAAAATGTGGAAGCGCCACTTATCCATATTAAAATTGAATGGCCACCATGCTTTTAAACAGTGGCACCTCGATGTTCATACCCCATTTCAGTGCAGCCATTTGTTTCATAGGCACACGCTTTGAAACTCTGCATACTACTTTTCAAGGAAATGTGACCGGCATTGGTCTGCAGAACTTGGATTCCGCTGCTCAAACTGTTCTTCAATGGGTACATTCTGAAATGTCATAAAAAGATGGCACTCGAGTGGCCATCTTGATTTACACAGGAATGTCATTTTAGAATATTTTAAGTGTACAATACAAATGTTGAATCCCCAAAGCGGTTTTGAATGGATGGCCTCCAGTCTGCACACCAATTTACACTGGAAAACAAAAGTGAAGCTAATGTGGATATTTGCCAAGTTTCAGGCCATTCAGAGCAGATAACTTGCATGTTAGGAGAACTCAAAATCTTGATCAAATCTGACTCAGGCTGCTATCTAGGTAATAATGCGGCACTTTTATTGTCCATTAGTATGTTTTCAGGGTGATACTATCCAGTTTTGGAATTGATCAGTTTTACTGTATTCAATCAATAGCAGTCTGATGACAACACACATATGCAAATGGTATCCATGGTTTATATGGGACAACCACTACATCACGTTCCAATAGTTGGATTTAACTGGCGAAAACACATTTTGAACAGTAGCAGCTTAGAATGTGCAGCGTGATTTCCCAAAAAGATTTTGAAAGCTTTTTCAAATTAAAAATAAATCCAGGACTAGGCCGCCATCTTGGTTGTTACAGAGCAAAGTTTCTGACACTTGACAAGTTCCATCGCCTCAGTACTGTATCAGCCAAGTTTGGTGTTTATCGGCTACATGTTGCCCTGTCAGGACAAACTTGAATACTGGGGAGAAAAACAAATTAAAAAGGAAACCTTTACAAACACTGGAGGTTTCCATGCCTGAAAGACTAAGCATCCTATGACAAAGGAACACTACCAACATGAAAAATACACCATTGTGGTTCTAAGCAGGCTTCAGAGCTCAGATAACACCAGCACTGGGCATAATTGGGTGCATTTATCTATAATTCAAACCTTCATATAACTAATAAACAGATAATAAGTGTTTAAAAGCAGCTGCACAAAGCTTTGCTGGTTTTCTAGTATTTGCCAGAGCACAGAGAAGAGTTGCACAGAAACGCAGATATTACTAGTCTCCGCTGTTAAAGCTTGTATTCACGCGGTTTGGCAATATATGGTAATAATACTTCTAACCATTTCATTCAGATTTGTGCATTACAGGGATATGAATGTTAGCCAAGGGATATAATGGCGTCTTTTTAAAAAAAAACTGCATTTTTTTTCTGAAATAATATCTCAGAATGATTAAAAGAATAATCACTGTAACTGTATTGAAGAGTAAATGTACTAAACGTTAAAATGCAGTAAATGGTATGCAGGCTGTTGAGATACCTGTAATTTAGAGAAAACAGATGTGTAGAAAGCAAAAGGTTATTTACTTGTAAAATAGATGGAAAAAAAAACTGCAATAAATGAACCTTACATACACTGTGGTTTAAATTCAAACCTTAAGGCTTGATGAAAATGCTGGATAAATTCATCAGACCTACCGATATCTGATAGGTCTAAAGAGCTGACTTTCAGGCAAAGTTCATTTTCAACCATTATTATCCCTACTACTTTTGCTAAAACGTTATTGATTATTACTTATGAGACAGGCTATCAAAATTAAGTGTACAGTACTTCCAACTCGCCTCCTTCCTCTGCCTTGCTGTCTGCAGTAGAGCAAGACTGGGTCAAGGGTCTGAGCTCCTGACCAGTGGACGCGAATCCTGTGAGCTGGAGCTGCTGTTGCACCTCTGCACAGGTACAGTTCTATCAGCGGAGTGAGTTTGTGCGGCACTGTCGCGCTAATATGGGGACACCGCGTTACGGCGCAAAGTGAGTCTTGACGGCTCACTTGCCTTCTCGCCGCGGTGCTGCAAGATGCTTGTCAAAGGCGCACGTGTGCACAAATGTCCTCATTTGGGCAGCGCCTGCATTGCGATGCAACAGGGGACCTCGCTGAAAAGCGACTCGGCCAGAATCCTCTCTTGTTGAATCAATGCTCGTTCTACTAAATTGTTCTGAAACGACCATGAAAGAATCAAGATTTAATACAGTACGATGCGTGTGACACGGGATAAAGAGCTTGCGCTTCTTTTGCAGCATTTAATAAGATCTCATTCGTTTCCTGCCCGTGTTTGCGGCTTTTGTAATTGTTTGTAAATGCAGTATACAGTACTAGGACACCATGTACAGTAGGAGGAGATTGAGGCCTTGCACGATGGCAAGGACCACACTACAGTACATAATTAACCAACCTTCGATTCTGCCACTTGTTTCTTTTGAGAATATTTTTATATTAATGATGTCTGTTTATATACGTCAAGTGTTTGCGTTATGAGGCTGCTCACAAACTGACGCTGCATCTACTTAGACCAAATATACACACATAACCAAATAACACCATATTTAACTTTTTATTAACTTATTATTTTTGCGCCAATAATAAAAAAAAGACCTACTGTATACAGTTTTGTCAACGTGTAACACAAAGAGGATAATCCCATACTTCAGACAACACAACCTATTTCAAAGTTCATTAGCTGTTGTGGTTTGAAAATGTCCAGACTTTGGTTTTCCTAAGCCAAAGCCAAATATACAGTAGTACCTGTTTTTATTGTCAGCAGTTATATCTGGGGACTAGGAATGGCCTACTTGAATCTTAGATCTGACCTGTTTAATAATGACAGGTCTATGCAATCAGTTACATTTAAAGACTATCTTGGGATAAACAGTCTTAAAAAGTATGGATTGATCAGAATTCCTGTGACCCATGCATTACCATGCATAAATTTGGGGATAAAGAAAATAATAACTCTTGGTCAGTTTAAAGACTCCTGCAGTCCATCATTTGTCTTGGGAACCACGTAACACAGACGTGCATAACATTTTAAAGGGATGTATTTCAAGACTGTCATGCTCTATTTAATCTTCATGTGGGTTTCGAAGAAATGTGGCTACCACGAAGAAGTCTCAGAAATGAGATCCAAAATAAGTATATAGAATTAGTGATTTTATTATCCAGCACATGGGAATATTATGATAAGGCACAAAAATGCATAATGTAGTAGTTTTAATAAATGCAAAGTCATATTTTAATAATAAATTGCAAATATAGATTTGTATATGCAATGGAAGTGCTATCCAATATAGAATAATCTTAATGATTGCAATACACTACATACAGTATCTGAATGGCTCCAGAATGGCACCTGGATCTGTACGTGAAACAGCAGGAACCTCAACGAATCTCACACACATTGTTAGTACAGCTGGTAACCAGATCTTCCCATATGGCCAAAAGCCTCTGAATGATTCAGACCCTCTTCCGACCTCAGACTGGGACGTGTGTTTCTCCTGGCACCCCACGGGTGAATTTGTCATTTCTGTTTTATTTTATTTTTTCTGTGGTGTGGATCATTTTGTTCATGATCACCGCAGCTGTCGGTGTCAAGCCAGTGGTATCCAGAGGGGCAGCTCGGGGACAGATGCCAGTCACAGCCTCCATCAGGCTGCGTTCTGTTATTAAATAACATGCACTCAGCCTCTGGGCATTTACCGTTTCCTTCCCTGTGATTTTAACAGATCAGTCAGTGACGTGACATCTGAAACAAATGATTTTTAAATCATTTTATAACTTTGAAATCATAATTTTGAAGAAAATAGAAACATTCTTTTTTTTTACCTAGAAATCTACTGAACAGTATACTGTATACCTGTAGTGAGCTTCACATGATAGAGTTCTTTATGTGGATGAATACCTCACGTTGAACTATATATTTTTAATTGTCCAGCACAGTAACACAGTGTTGTGACTATTAGTGATGTTGCTTCACAGCTCATAGCTGCTAGGTTTAATTCTGGTGGAGTTGCATGTTCTCCATATTTTTGCATGGGTATTTTGCCAGGTGCTCTGGTTTCCTCCCACTGTCCACAAGCATGGTAACTACAGTAACTAGGTTGATTTGTATGTATAAATGTACCTGGGTGGATTTGTGCACTGTGATAGGCTGATGTCAGACAGTGCCTTGTGCTTTCAGTATTGTGCTCCATGTTTCCGTAACATTTTACCAGGAATTAGCAGCTTACTGGCAATGGAAGGATATTTATAACTGATATTGTTTCATACAATTTTCAGTCTTAAAATATTTTGCAGAATAATTTGCATATTATTGCAAAGGCTCAGATAAATGATGCTCACAGAGGCAAAAACACCGGACAGACAAAAACTCCAGATGATTCTTAAATTGCTACCAGGCACCTCCGTTTATAGGAATAATAAGATGAGAAACAAATATTGTAAATGTTCCATGCGGTCTGCAAAAAAATTCTTACAGTTGCTGTTTAAGCAATAACATAGTCAAGAAACACACACTACAACTTATAACCTTGAATTTAGCTTTATTTTTTAGAACAAAATAACTAACCAGGCACATGGCAGTTTGGATAGTGGGGTTGTTATCTTTGTTATTTTTGCACAGAGCACAGACATTTCCTTGGTCTGGTCTGTACACTGCAACAGTGGAATTTGATAATAGATATTTTTCAGATTTCCCAGCTTTATGGAACACCATGTTGCGGTTGTGAGCATGTGTGTCCAACCAGTCAGATGCAATTTCCATTTAAATGCAAATAGAGACCCCAGGCCTAATGTATCTTAAAGTGATGAGAGCTGCTCTATAATGGTCTCGTCTAGTTTTCTGTTTAATTCAAATTTGCTAGTTTCAGTGGCATCTCGGAGAGCAATATCATGTATTAGTGCGCTTTGCTGGCTCCCATCGTGGACCCTGAGACAGCAATCAGTTTAAACAAACAGTTCCATCCTTTTGAATGGTAACTGATGGCCACCATCTCTCAACACTGAGCTAGAGATCACAGAATTCAAAATTATGTCATCAATAGCACCACAATAAAAGGGCTAGCACACAGAGGAGTGTACGGATTTATTTTTGCAGCGTACCTCAAATATTATCAAAAACATTTTACCATGAGAGATTAAATGACTCAAGAGCTGTTCCTGAAAGTCCATGTGAATGCCCATTATAAACCACAGCAGTAAGTGCTGAAGAATCACTTGAGAATTCAGAGGTGTGATATCATTAAGAGATCCTTAAGTAAAAATGAGACTGGAAAATTTTAGCATCTGGGCAAATTCACCAGCAGGAAATGGGGACTCTTCTGGAGTTTCCCCAAAAAATTTCAGTTGTAAATTATAAAATGCAGAGCTGTGAGTTTTTTACTTAAATCAATGATGAAAGGAAAAAATCTTAATAAGCAATGTTTTTTTTAAAGAATGCAATATCATGTGCAAAAGTTTCAGAGTAAATTGCTACTGTATGTCTTCATTATGATTTTTTAAGGATTGCATATACTGTATGTTCACTCCAAGATCTTAGCTGGGCCAAAACCTTAATTCTTTCATTTTTAGGTTTTACTTAATTTACACTTAAGCTCATTCCTCAGTTCTTAGCTATCATTAAACTATAAAGCTAATAAATACAGCATTAGATGTGAAATTTACTCAGGGCAGATGTGCTTTGTAAACAGAATTCAAAGGACGATAATTAATGAGCGGAAATTTAAGGGAAGGGGGACAGGTACTTTCAACTAATTGTACTTGAGATGAGTGTGTTTATTCCTTAACCTTCCCATCAAAAATGTGAACAAAAAAGAATCTGTTCCTAAGACAGGTGTCAGATTTCAGCCCGTGATAGGGTGCCATTTAAAAATTCCAAAGCAGAAGATACAAGACTTAATGGGGTTTCTCACCATTATTAGAACTTTTTCCCACAGCTTGCTTTGCGAGAGAAATTGCAATCGGATCAAACGTTCCTGACCCAAAACAACTTTGAGAGCATTACTAAATGATTAATTACTGACCACAAGAATGGAACTGCTTCACACAACACAACGAAAAGACTGACACTCAATGGGGATGTGATGCTAACATTTTGCCTCTCTGTAGTAGGAGTGTTGATATGATTTATCCTATTGGAGCTCTGCAATTAACTTGGAAAAAAAGGTTCTTGTTGCTTCAAATTAGATCCTTGTCACGTCGCTATGAATTATTTTATCCACTGAAACATAGGTGCTTTCAAATGACTACCATTCCATACTGAATCCTATGGGATTCTAATAAATTGTTTTAATGCATTATGGTCTCGTGAGTGTATCTTATTGTATGAACTGCATAAAAGTAAATATATTTTAAAAAGTGAACACAATTAATGTATATTTTGGCAGGGCTTTAAAACATTTCCATTCTAAAAAGATTATTTAAACCATAACATTTAATTCCCAACATGTTTTAATATCCTTTGATGTGAGCTCTTTGTTAGTTCCTCTCGTTGTTTCTGCACCAGTTTTGTTTTTTCCAATGCACTCCAAACCCCTCTGGAAAAGAGATAATAGAGTTTCTGCGAACACAAACAATGTGTCTTTGTGGCAACCCTAAGAGTGACATCCCCAGTAGACCAGTGTCTCTCCAGCTTTGTTACGGTGTCTGCAGGGAACAGCAAACACAGCCACAAAACGGTTAATTTATCAAAGGACAAAACCTATAATCAAACATGTGTCCTCCATTACTGTAGATGAAAAACAAATGACTGCTAAACCATTAATTAGAGTAGAAAAATATCCCAAATGCATTTCTTCAGACAAAAAACTATCAATATAATACAAACTGAAATAGTTTTTATATTTAATAAAGACTGACTGGATGGACTTAAGTTGAGAATTACTAGTTTGAAATATTCCTCTATTTTCTTTCCACTAATTGCTAAAATACAAGAGATTGCTCAATCCTACAATCGGATTGTAGGACTGGATATTCAATAGGGTTCAAATATCAAATCACACAAGTGTTCTGTCATTTTTCAAAATTAAAAAACACCCTTTTCAGTATCTGAAAAACAAGTACTTTTTTGAGGAAGAAATACAGAAATCAGCAAATGTATTGTTCATGCTGATCAAAAACAGGGTAACGGCAAAAAAGGGCTTAAGAACAAGGATGTTTGCTTGGTTCATTGTGTGCGGTCTGCTGGTTTCTTCAACCAATTTCTACATATTCTGCCCTTCTATATACCTTGGCGTACCTGAACTGATGATTAAAATCTTTCGAACTGCTCCTGAAAACAAATTTAATGAGCTGAATCGTGCAAATGAAGCTGTAACTCCTATGTTGGCGTTTGTGTGAACCGCCAACGGGTTGTGTTAGGATTCTTATTGCTCATGAGGTCGTGGCCCTTTATCCAAATAAATGCTTCCATTTTTTCATTTGTCTGCAGAATTAAGGGTGCTGAAGCCTGTAAGAAATATTAGACGAGATTAGACAAGCTCAGAAAGAAACATGACACGATAAAAGTGATTTCACATTCATTTGGAATTCTGGCAGCTTGCATACAATTTTAAGACTGATTGTGGTTGTTAGAAATTTACAACTACCCTTCTTTAAACTGATGAAAATTATCTCATTTTTTACGCAAGATCATAATATTTATCTTTGTGGGTTTGCCAGTCTTTATTGAAGTGTTAATAGGCTGCAGATGGAAGTAAGTTGTTAAATCCAGCATGATCCTTCTAGTGCATCCTTGTTTCTTTTGTTAAATTAAATGGCTATGGAGTAGTTTTTTGTTGCATAAAATGAAAAGAAAAACAGGCCTCCCCATTCAGAGAAGTTTCTGAAATGTTTAAATAAACGAGCCGCACAGACAATTCCCAATGGCCTTGTTATTTTAAAGATCTTTTATTTAAAAAGTACACAAACAGGATCGGATTGTTTCAGATAAGGCAAAGCTCAAAATAATCACCAATCATGTCTGTGGACTTACATCCCCAGGTCACAGTTTATGGTTATCACTTTGCAAATTATAAAGATACTATTTTTCCGTTTTTATTTAAATTATTTAACGTTTTATTTTTGTTGGAAAACTCGTCTTCACAAAGCTTAGCATTACTCCAACCACAGTTTAGGTTCATGAATGTCCGATGAAATGCTGATGGTTTCAACTAAAGTAAAATTCTCGTCTGCCGCATGGGAAACTCAGTTCATGATTCCCTCCATGAGGGTTCAGCATGCCACACATGAGACGGCCCTGGTCCTGGTCACCTGGCGAGGTGGGTGAAGAGAAGTAAGAGCAAAACAACGGCGAGCTGGGACCTCAGGCCAAAAGCTCCTCCACATTCCCTCGCATTCTCCTGCAAGGAAAGGGACAACAGCTCAGTGTCTGTGCATGGTTTCAGACACGATGGGGAACTGCTGGTTGGACAGCAGCCAACACCAATTAAGAAGGTAAGAGGACTGCTAGGGAAGGCCATTGGACCCATCTTGCACTTTAGGCTGGGACGTGTTCAAAAGAAACGAAAGGGTAAATTGTCTTAGTTGTTGGTGGTTTAAATAGCAAACCAGAGATTTACAGCACATAACGATCCAACAGTATTTGCTTTTAAGTAGACTGAAGCGGACGTGTACTGGTTGATTATAAACTGGGTCCCTTTTCAAGTTCATTCCTTAAGGCAGAGGTACACAAAAGTATCCTAATGACTCTGGTGTGGTTTAACATTCCTATTTGTTGTGAAATTGCTATAAATTACTAGGCTGGACTGAATAGAATATGGTACCTTGCCTTGGGCCCTCTTTGGAAGCTAATGGTAAACACGTTTAAAGTCATAAGGCTAAGGCAAAGAGGTGCTCTCTTGGCTGATAGCATTGAACCACCCGCGTTATGGGACCTCTTCACGCTGTTAGCTGAATGAACCGTTCGCATTTCTGCACCCTATTTAGTACGAGACAAAGTTTAAAACAAGGTGGTGTGCACCACTTTCAACTCCCTATTAAAACCCCCCAGGACGTTTTACCTCGGGGTGGAAAGGGTGGCACGAGTCTGGCCGTCTTCTGTCTTTCTGCAGTTTCAAGCGTTCACACTTCAGAGATTCATTGTGTGCACTGGAGTTAAAGAGCATTTTAGACTAGCCGTGCATTCCTTCCTTCACAGAACTGCACTGGGGCATTGAAAGCCACACCCACAGAAAACGTACTTGTGTGATATTGCCTGTAAAATTACTGAAATAACTTACGTTGACAGAAGTCACTTTATAAGTGCAATTGCGAATTAGAACTGGTCTATTAACTTACAAAAATGTATAGCATAAATTACCACATCACCAAACAACATGACATTTTTTTGTGAAAACGTTTCACTTTTTCTCTAAAAAATGCTTTTCCTTTTTTTCTTTCAATCTGGGAAAAGAGCATGGGGCAGACGCTCGGAGCGCGAGCCATCATTTTTCCCATGTTGGCCCTCCGCAGAGCATAAAAAACAACAAGCATTACGTTTTCCAAAGCACTGTCATGCTAAAATGTATGAAAGTGAAATAAGAGAAAATTATATTTTTCATGCAGCAGCTTTGGAGAACGTAACGCTTGTTGTTTTTTATGCTCTGTGGAGGGCTAACGTGGGAAAAATGATGGCAGCTTTAGCCTCGCTTGAAAGCCCTCCCTTTATTGTTTTCTCCCACTTTAAAAAAATTAACAAACATAACAGGCCTTCCAGCTGATCGTACTGAACCAATAAAACCTTAATCAAAACCTTCCGTTTCCTTAACACCTCTTGGCAGGCAGTACTGTTTGGATAGCCTTATTAATACCCTAGTATTCATTATAAAAAATGTTAACACCTGATAAACACCACAACCTACAGTAACTACAGTAAGTATCAGCTTGTACAGGCAACACAAGACACAATTCGGTGCTGTTTACTGATTTTCGACGGTACTGTCAATAGCCAAACCTATCATAAAATCTGTATTTTCAGTCACAGGTCTATAGGTACCAAATCATTGCTGTATGTGCTACTAGTAGTATCAGTAATTCTAAGATATAATTAACTGTTTGAAAGGTTGTGTACAATAACTAAATAGAAATTACAGCTGAAAAAAGCATATAAATAGCCCTGTAGATACTGTACGTATTGTATTAAAAACAGGGCTTTTATCCTTTTTTTTTTACTGGCAACACGGTCTTCTTTTCACCTGGAAAGTCACATGTTAATCCCTTCACATTAATTATTTAAAATGCTTTACCTCACCACACCAGTTCTAAACACTTCTGTGACTATCGGCTGAAATTGGCTTGCAGGCTTTGTAAACACACAGAAAAGGATATACATAATTTCTATGGGTTCCATGGTAATTGGTGGGGCAGATTTGCAATCGCACTTGTTATCGACCACAACCATAAATAAATTGCTGCTGGGAATCTGCTGAATCACAAATGATCTGTAAAAGAAAAAAAAATTGGTTAAACCATATCCTCCATTTTTGCAGAATTCAGACACATTAAGAAATTGTTTCACAATTTACCTAACCATGATAAGATATTTCACCATACAATACACTCTAAATGGTTCAGTTAATGGTCACATTTACAGTATACAGAAGTATAAAACAGAGTACAGCTGTGCACTTTGTGCCAGGGAAAAAGATTTTTCCTCATTAGGGTAATGCATGTGATAAGTATAAAAAAGTAGTTCATGTTCGTTTCCCACATGTAGCCTAAAATGAGAAGAGTATATTAAGAAAATACAATTTAGAATTATTTAAATAAATATAATTCTGGAAAAATAACCTTCAAATTTACAAATGTCTGTTAATAAAGTCATCTATTGCAATGCTTTAGCTAGAATTTTATTTATACAAAATTAGGGCATATGTGATATGCAGTTTTGGCTCTAAGTGGTATTGGTAATATGAATTCAGCATTAGGCAACATAGTTTCCCATGTCTGATTACTTATTCTGATTTGTTCTGGTTATAGTAACTACTTAAGTTTTAACGAATGACATATACTAAAAAGAACAGCAAAATTCAATTATCATCTTTTATCAAAACATGAACCGTTCGATAAAAAGCAGGCATAAGAAAAAATATTAAACTACCTAATATCCACAAGGCATTTGGATTTCTTAAATGGCACTTCTTTCTTTCCGAGATAGTTGTTTATTCTTTTTGCGTTTTGGAACCTGTTTGGTGTCTTACAGAGGCTAGAACTGAAAACACAGCATATCCCTGCAGTGGTCTTTTCATTTTTTTTTCCAGTTGGTGGGTTACAGCATATGAGATTTATGGACTCAACAGTAAGCTTTTATCATGCGGCAGAAGTCCTTGTGAAATCCTAACCTTCCTTTTAAAAAAAAAACAACCTGGAAATTTAGGGACTAAAATGCAGTCCAACTGCATGAAGCAGAACACATTTTAAGAAGATTGCTTTGGTAAAAAAAAAAAACTCTGAAAAACAAATCCCAACAATATTTTCCCAAAAGAGCTGGTGACTTTGCAGATTCTTGGCAAAAGATTTAAGAGTCCAGTGCAAGTGCGTGTAAGTTCAAGAAAGCAAAAACACAGCCACGGTTCTACAGAAGAGGCCAAGAAAAAAAGGAACAAAAAGCAGAAAATTTCAAGAAAACGCATGCTTGTTCTTTCTGGCAAGACTTTGTAGCTGTAGAAGGGTCCCAGACATCACTGTAAACTGACACTGACCTACCATGTTAAAAGTCCTTTTCGAACTACCGTGGGTAATTCTGCAAAGACACTCAATGAATACATATTTACCCAAGAATTAATGAATTTTAAAAGAAAATTCAACCTGAAAGCATGCGCAGTTGAGTTTTGCTGGTGTTCTCTTTTTTTTGTTTTTCTCTAGATGTCAAACACTGTTACAGCCCCAGCAAAAGCTACTTTTATAAAGGAGCGAGGCAGTAAATACAGATGATACCAATCTGTGTTTGAAATGAATTTTGAGAAAGCCTCAAAAAAAAAAAAAACACATCAGAGTACGTTGTAGTTCCCCCAGTCTGCTGAGTGAGGTACAATGTACTGCTTAAGGAGCCGAACCAGCTGCAGCAGAGACGCGCCCAAACCCTTCTGAACTCCTACTGCACTTGCAGCACTTACTTTACCTCAAAATGGATGCTGTAACTGTGGACTAACAAAGCATGCAACTTGATGTGCCTAGACAACTGTGGCAAATGCAAGGGAAGAGTACTGAAGAAATGGGCTTAACTGTAAAATTATTTGTAAAAAGACTTTGGACTATCTGTTCCACATGGCACAAACCCTCTTCCTTGAACATCAAAATGCACAACATAAACGTCTTTATAATAGAGTATACCGCAGATTTTGTAATTAGATTGTGATGCTGTGCGGATCCGATCCCCTGTCCAGGAGATGTAACATCACAAATAGAATATAACATTCTTCCTGTTGTACGTGTTTATTTTTGCACTGTGAACCTGAGTGGCCATGATCCTACAGAAGGTTTTCCGTGTACAGTAAACAGATACAGAGGTCCCGCCCCTGGCAAAAAGGCTCAGTTCCTTCACTGCACGCTGTTGCCACGTCAGCTATAAGAAGGATGAATTGTGAATTTTGTTTCAGGGATTTTGTAATAAAATTGAAACAGAGAAGTAGTGTTAGGCTTGAAAGTGGCGATGGGCCTGCTGGAAATCCGAATACCTTAGTGCGTAACTAACTCAAAAATCAAAGTCAACCGTCTCGGAAAACATGGGGAAAAGGCAGAAATCACAGACAGCATTGTGTCTTTCTGCTCGTGTTCGGAATTAAGTGATGACTGATGGAGAAAGACAGTGGTTTAGAGGACTTCAATGGTTAATGTGTGTCATTTAGTAAGCACACATAAAAACAACCACAAAATCTGCAAGTAAGCTCCACAGCCGAAGAAGCTAAGTGAGATGGGTCTTCATTAGCCACCCTCAAGTCTAGATGAATATAATAAATATTCCTAATGGTGTAATCACCTATTTAGATTCAATTCATTATGCTATTCGTCTTGTGCACAAATACTGATGTATTGCAGAGTTCGTCTCTTTGAATATCTTCCTTCAGGAAACCTCTTAATTAATGGGCCTTGTCTCAGTTTTTCATGAGCACATATCAAGACGGATAAATGATGTGTGGGCTATTGTGGTTTATTAAATTATCAGCTGTTACAGATAGAAGCGTGCACTTTTCCAGATTAATGGCGATCACTAGCAGACTCTTAACAGCAATTTGCCAGTTTGTATTGAATACATCTGCTTCACACAAATACTTTGACAATAATCTGTCAAGAACAATACTGTTTCATTTTAGAGGAAAACCAACGGTAAGACCAATTACTGTAAATGTATACATTTTTTGAAGGGGGGTATAGTGCACAAGTTTGTGATACTGAGATCCCAGCTTAGACATTCCTGTCTCACTGTAAATGTATCTTTCCTGTACTTTACGACTTCATAATTTGGAAAATGGAGCACTCAGGCCATACTTACATGTTCTCAACCCAAGTTTTACCATGATCTTTATGAAACTATACATAGTGCCTATAAATACTCTAGGTCATAAAACACTTACAGTATATTGATGATTTGTGGGTTTATCCACATTCTCCTCCACGTTATACTTTCAAGTATATCTGACAGATATTTGGACAAGAAAAACAAAGTAGTGTTTTAATGTTACATCTCCGGACTTTTAAAATATCCCATCACTTTTGCGGAGAAAAATAAATGTGGGGGTTTAATGCAATGGCTGTTTAAGACAAACAATATTCACTTCTCCCATCGTCAGGAGCTTATAGTTTTAGACCAGACTAAATAGCATTTTACCAAGGATGTTATGAATACCAATGTAAAAGAAGAGGAACAGAGCCAAAATCTGTTATTGTCAAAAAACGTTTTACAAAATTATGTCAACTAATTCCCTACTTTATGAGGTGCTAACACTATGCATTACACACAAACATGATGAAGTGATGAAATGGGCAAAGCTGTGCTGTATGCCTTTCATCAACAAGGAAAGAAAAATCAAATCTACTTTTTTAAAGAAAAATGAAATAAATGAGAAAAAGTTATTTCGCTAAAAAAAATATCAATTTCACAATTATTTTGACAGATACACTGCATATTGAATGTACCTCATACAGTGTGTCACTAGAAATCAGTTCCTGATATATTCTGCTATAAATAGGATGATTAACTGTAAATGTGGCTGTCTATAATGTTTTTGTTTATACTGTATGTATAATGACATGGTAATAAGAGAGAATCAATTCAGAATTTTAATTAATTTATCTGCTGTTTATAAAACTAATAGGTTGCTACACTTCTGTAGAAGCAAAAGTGAACACCGAAGCAAGAACATTCTGTAGCTACACAGCTACAAGTATAATCACTTAGAAAGCATAAAAGGCCCATTGAATAAACTTCAAACCTTCCATACAAACAAAACAGTTTAAAATAAAGTTAAAATAATTAGAACAGAAAGCACAGCTTTCTTTCTGAAAATGCAAAAAACATTTAGTATGAAAATTTTAGAAACAAAAAGCAAGATGCTTATTACAGATAGCCAATATTATTATAGAAGTTATTTCCAATAATCAGTAATACATTTTGTTTTTATTTAGTTTACTGTACTTTATATATTAATACATGTAAAACAAAGTAATACTAAAACAAGTTATTTTTTATCTTAAGGATCTGCTTATAGAATCTTAGTATGTTTCATTAATAAGAAAGAACATTTTCACATTCCAATCAATTTTCTTAATCCAAACAAGGTTTACTTAATCTCAACCTCTGTTTAATATATTAAATGAGATTAGTTAGATTTTAGGAAGATTCATTAGCTTGGTTCTTAAGGTTGTTAGACCACATGCGATCTATTTAAAGTTACAGTCTGTACAAAGGAATGCCATTTGTTGTAAATTTGTTAATGTGTTTAGGATTTGTGCAATCTTCATTCCAATAACATAATTTGTCCCAAACTATCTGTTGTATAGTTGCCAGGAAGTCCTTTAAACATCTTAAATATTAATGCAGTAAAACGTTTTGATATTCCTATATCTATAAATCCTCCACCTTTGACCTAACATGACTACACTGAGGTTACATGTATTTAAGTTTAGATACAGACTCAACAGCTGGTAGCAATGAAAGCATGCTTGAACAATCTGCAGAACTGCCTACAAGTGACTAAAAAACCCCTCAGTTTCTTAATGTATACCACACTAATTTTCTCATTTTTTAAAGCTGTTTTCCTAAGCAACTGTATACTCAGAAGGACCAAAATAGCTACAATTATTTTTAAATATTTTAACTCACTGCTAAATGTCTATAATAAATCAGTTGTTTAAGGACTGAAGCATTAAAAACATAAAAGTAATGTATTAATGGATTAGACCAAAATAAAACAGCTTTTGTAGTGAAGTATAAAACAGGCAATAGATTTTATTCTGCAATATACAGTAGGACAATTTTCAATTACTAATCATTTGTCAAATATAATACTATCCCCACCATAATTATAGCACTGCAATCCATTGAGGCTGGCAAATAATAAATGAGCATCCAAAACTACTACATTTGAAAATGATGATAATTAAGAAGAACAATCCTGTTTTTTTTTTTCAGTTTTCTTTTTGCAACCTTTAAATTAAAACTAAATCACATTAACAGTGCATTAGTAGGGCTTGGTAAAGCTTCCCAAACTAATTTTCTATTTATAAAATTCTATAAAAATGTGTAAAACACTGGGTATGTTTATGTTATTTTGTACCATTACACACATTTATAGCAAGGATTTGGTTTAATAAAAATGACAGAAATAATATTCACGTGTATGAAGAGTACTATAAATTGTGTATCTTCAAAACTCTGAGATTAATTGGTATAGCCAAGCAATGAGTAATCCATCTAAACTTTCACTTCCTGTTCTTCCCAAGATATCAACCCAGTAATCAGCATGTCAGGTCGCCTATAATTAATCCCTTTTTTATAATATGATATTAAGAGTTGTCCACATGCTCCAAATTAGTGGAACTTAACTAAAGCCTGTGTCTCGCTGGGCCATCAATGCTCCAGTTAAATGAGTATCCTGTCATTGTATTGCAGTAGACTGACACACAACAGGGGGCTGACCTAAGAGATGGTCTAAGAGTTTAAACAAACCAGAGACAGTGGGACAAATACTAATCACGACAACTTACGAAAATCAATTGATTGTAAATAAATGCAACAATATAAGTTTTGTTATTACTGTTTTTATTAAATTGATAATTATTAGTCTAAGTGTAATTTTATTTGTAGATTTGTATCATATAACAAAAGGCATAGCATTTCAATGTCTCCTATGGTTTTAAAAAATAACCTCAGAATATAGACAACACAAGATGAGCCTTCTTAATTAAATTAAAATCCTTATCATAAAAGCAGGATCATTATTGCACATTACTTTTAGAACTGGACATTTTTATCTATGAAATGTTTTTTCTGGAACAAAAATCAAGCTGTACTTGTTACAACTAATTCCAGTCTTTCTACTGGCAAATGGTTACCATTGAAACCTCTCTCCCAAAGTGAATAGAGGACTTCAAAAAACAGAAAGAATACGATGAGTCAACAATATGAAGTACTACATACGTAAACTGTCTAAAGAGTAATGATACCTTCTTATTATCTCATCCTTATTCCTTTTTAACCAAGAAAGCCAAAATACTGATTAACAGAACATGTCAGTAAGCAGCTATAATGCAGCAATTTTAGATTAGAATAGAATCAACCTCTCATCAAATAATCACTACTTAAAACCAACCTGATCTTAACCACAGGTCTGATGGATTCATCCAAGCTCCTTAATCAAAAGGATCCTTGTTTATTTAGTTTTTTTCTTTAGGCTTTTTGTGGTATAATTAGCATGATAGCCTTTTATTAACCTTGCTGTTGCATGCTAAGGTATTCAACTTTATTTAATTTATACAAGTAGGATGTAATCAGTGGAGTCTATGGTTAAATGGTGAGGTAACACTTGCTGTTTTCCTGGAAAACCTGAAGGACCCTCCTATCTATATGAGCACCTCATCCTTAAACTACTTGTTTGGGTCGGCTTCTATCACCCCTTTCTGGTGTCTTCCAAATCACACTGATTACACTTATCTAAGGGCATAATAGTATAAGATTAAGGCTGTTCTGAATGATGCCTTTTAGAAATTCCTCAGTACTTAGACACCAGGAAAGTCCACCCTTGCCTTTCTTTGGGGATTGAGTGTTGTCTGATTATTGAAAGCAGGGCCCATTGTATTTTTTGTTTTTCTCTTTTAAAACCATTTTTTTTATTTCTACTTCTATTTCATAAATATTCTGACCCCAAAAAAAGTAGATCGATGAAAAGAATACCGTTCCTGGGTACGTTACTAACTAGTGAAATCAGTGCATACAAGGTAGGCATGGATTTCACGCAGGGATTAAATATTTAAATTTCAATCATTAATCACAGCGTTTATAAGACACCACATTTAATGGGGGATTAATTTCACAGCTGTAATTCGTGGAATACGTCCAAAACCCAGCTGTGCTTGTCCAACTTTGTGCATGTTTGCAGGAACCTGTGCACCTTTTAAAATTACATTGATGTCTCATTGTTCCTCGGTGCAGTAGAAAGCTGCTTGTCAAAACATTTGAGATCAATCAATCAGCTTCACTTTATCCAGCCTGGATTTTCTAAAAGAATAATGGATAATAGAGCAGCAACTCTCTACTAAGGGAGAGACAACTTCCTTGCACTTGAACCATCAGAGAATTCTCTTGCCAAACAGCTGTGTCTCTAGGCTCCCTGTGTTTGGGGACTGAATGATTGATTTGGGATAATATTGCTGCAAGGGAAACACTTGGGCTTTAGCAAGATTAAGAACTGCAAGAGATTTCACAGACAAAGACGCACTGTGAATGCATTAACTACATACAGTACTATTAGGTGCTTTACTTTGCTAGCCAAAGTCCTTTAAAAAGCTACCAGAGAGGTAAAACATTTCTAAAATATACTTTACCCTGAGCATAAGTCAAAATTGAATTTGCTTTTCATCAGTTTAAAAATGCATGGAAAATACAAGTTGATTTCCAGACTGTAATAGTTTGCTTATGGAAACGAGATGAACAATAAGATCTCTATATTTTTTTTTCAAGCGTAATAGTTAATGTTATGTAAAGATTTTAAAAATAGTCCTGTGTACTGCACACCTGGCTTTTAAGAGGTCTCAGAATCAGTTTGTCTCAGTAATTCAATAATTCATGTCAGAAAACAAAAAAAAATCATAAAAATGTATTAAAATACCTGCAGTGAATACTCCATTAAACTAACAGAGTCTGAAACGGTTTGTGAGCAAACTGAGAAAAAAAAAAAGCTGTGATAATAACCGGCGATGTTGCAGTCTCTTACGATTTATGCACAGACGTGCGCTCAGGTCTACCATTAAACTGAAATAATTAGGTTTACAGTTTCATTTGTTGAATGGAATACTTTAGTTGTTTTTTTTTTAAAGATTTGGGGCCTTCCTTCAGAGCAGAGGGTGGTCCACTCCGGGGTAGTATAGAGGCCCTTACAGGGAACTCTACAGGGCAGCCAGAACTCAAGGAGTTTCTTCCTCTCCTCCTTCAACTGCAGGCAAGGGCTAAGGGGTCAGTAGCTGGAGGAAATGTGTCTAAGGCCATTCTTAACCCAAAAACGACAAGCACAACACTGTATAGAAAGTATGCATAGAACACGCATTGCGTACTGTATGCCTATGACGTGAACACGATCAGGTACAGTGAACATAGTTCCTATTATCTATCACTATTGCACTTTACACAGCCTAGAAGAAGGTCAACATAAATTTAAGGGAAAATAATACACCACTTTGTGTAGCGTGTTTTGAGGATAATACTGTATTGATTTCTACTGTACACTTACTGTACTGACGAGATCTTAAGAGATCTGCAGTGGTTGAAACGAGCTGTAAAAAAAAAACAGTATGCGTGGGCAAGACAGAAATATTTCTTACTTGATGCATCCCTCGCAATCAATGTTGCCCGTGGTCTCCTTGATGGTGCGTTCAGAGACGAAAGCAGGGTATTCAGTGTCACAGGGTACCAGCATGGGTTTCCCTCTTTGTGCTGGAAGGAGACAACGCACCGGCATAAACATGAGAGTTTTGCATTAGTCTGCAGAGTCTCTTACATTTGGAAAAATCTGACCAAAGTCATCACATTCCCCCCATTTCAAACCAATCTAAGATTGTAAATGTGGTAGAACAGTTGTGAGCACCATCGGTTAATTCAATGCAATGAACAGCAGCACTGTACTTGTATAACTCCTCTGTATGACTGGCAGCTTTTTTTAAAAAAAAATAAAGACCTAATTTCTTTTAATTCTGGGGATCTCAAAACAAGCGCAGAACTTCTGCGGCCACTTGGAAAACTTTACACGAAAACTAAAAGAAGTAACAGATCAAAGAGAAACTGTTCTGTTAAATGATTACTTTTGAGTTGCTGCCACCTTGTGTTCATTCTTAGGTACTGCAAGTATTCCAAAACCCTTTAGGAAGTTTGAGACGTTTCCTTCCTTGTATGTAAACATATTTAAATACATTACTGTGCATTTACTAATTATTCTAGAAATTTTCTTCTTTCAATGATGATCTTCAAGAGTTGATAAGCCACTGTTGTGTGACTCAAAGATCCCCATCCAAACCATTATTACTCTTTGCACTAACTGTACATACTGTAAAGCTTTTTGAATGGAAGGATCCTAAAGTATTTTGCTTCTAGGGGAAGAACCACTTCACCCACCAGTGAAGTGCAGCAGACACATGGTGACTCATGGCAGCTCTTGTGCACCAACAACCCCACTACACAGCGGATCAAGAGGATAAGTGGGAAATATCTCTATTGCACCATCAATAGGATTAAGAAGGACCTTTGAGTGTTTCTCATTTCACCTCAGACGGCCACGATCACACTGATCTCCCTGTCTCTGTTCTCAAAGAAGGGTTTCTCAACTCCCGTAGCAGAAAGACAACAGAAACGAAACTCATACTGAAACTGGGTTCACACCTTCTCTCCATGACCGACTTATTTTCGTGTGATCTTCTCTATTCTCATGCAGGTTTTGACTTCACACCTTTCTTCACCCTTCTCTACTTTGCACTTCCTGAGTGGCCTCTCTGCCCCTCCTGCCTCCTCCCCTCTCCCAGCTTTTGGTGTTCTGTGCTATTTAATCTTTGCTGTCTGCCCTGTCTTTCTCATACCTGAAGAAGCCTTCACAGCAAAAATATTGTGTTTTCCCATCTTCTCTTTTCAGCATGGAATAAACGTTATACTTTTTGCTTTTGCAGTCCACACATGGTGACACAGCTAACTGCCTGACATTTAAGTGGCCAGATTGGACAAGCCCAGAATGTCATTCATCAAGGACAACAACCTGGGTTAACACCCCTACTGTTCCAACAATGCTATGGGATCTTTTAATGAGCAATTAGTCCTGAACTCAGTTATTGTCTTGTTTGAAAGATAGCACCTCACACAGCATGGTGTCTCTGGCTACCAAGCTGAGGAATCCCTTTGGAAATTCAGGTTAGCGATTGGCACTCCCTCTGGTCTACAGTGGTTCGCCATCACCACTTAGAGCTGCACGATGGTTTTCCTTAGAGGTCTCCCAACCCAGTACTGACCAGACCAGCCTTGCTGAGTTTCTAAGATCTTGAAGTCAAAACAGTTTCATGACAGAAAACATCCAAAAGGCAAAGCAGAATGTTCTCTGAAGAAACTCTTGCTGGGTTGAATTGCAATGGCCGTACGGTGATGTACAGTACTATACATTTCTATGAGTTGCTAATATATATTCTACACTCGCTTTTAGATTATTTTGTTCCTTTGAAACTTTTTTTTAAAACAGGACATTTAAAAGCTTTTCCCTTTATATACTTTTATATCATGACTGCGGACCTCACGTTTCTCATGATCTGGTGTGCACATTTTGCATTACTGTTACTTTACTAATACTAGTATTAATAATAGAAATCACTGGGATTTTGACGGGATTTAAAAAATATATAAAACACGATTTGGGGTGAGATCTTTTTTTTTTGTTCTTGTTTTTTTAAAAGTTGTCTTTATAAGGTTACTAAGCACAATGGACCACAGAACATTAGAACAGCTAATGTGCTAATTAAGTATAGGGTTTTTAGAATTAAAACTAGCAGTATTCTTTCTAAATATTTTTTAAAAGTCCCTAGCATGTAGTTTCCTAACCTTGAAATCTTTGCAAAACACACTCAGTTATGGAGTGCTACTGTATGTGTTCAGTAAAAGCTAGAGCAAAGTATTGATATGGTATCAACATTCAGGTTAAAATTCAGGCAAACTCCCCCTGCCAATTTATAACAGAAAAAATATGTATTCCTGTAATCACAACATTTCTAATGAATGCATTTTAATCAGCTAAACACGCTTAGAACACGCTCAGACCTTCCAGAATTAATATATTGACTCACAAAAGTTAAAAGTATTTTCCTGCTCACAACCTATTCAAAGATTTCTATTTGAGCACTGACTGATGTATTCAGTATGACACATGGCAGTTCAACCAGCTGTGATGGGCAATCATCTGCATTAACTTATGTGGATTTCAGATTTGTTTCACAACTGGAGTATTGTCACAGTATTGTGTTTCTATTGTTTTACAACAGGGCAAAACGGAACTCCAGTCAGCACTGTGTGAAACTTTATCCCCATGCTACAATCAACTCTACAGCTGTCTTTTCTTGGAAAATAATTAATGTGTCCCAAAGGACCGTCAATCACACTTTATTTTTATTTTATTTTTTTGGTCCATAGGCCCTAGTACTATTTTCTTTTCATTTTTTTCAGATATGTGGCATTCTTCTTTCACACTCATATGGCAAGTTTTTAAAATTACGCTCCCTGTTAATGAAAATAATTGATGTATTGCTTTGAGCATGTTGATTAAAGCATTATAGTGGTCCTTACATGTATACATACATAAATAACTGGAGCATAACACAGGAAGGGAAACTGATGGTATTCTATTATTGCTTGTTATGAAATTTTAGATAAACATTTTTTTCTGAGTAAACTACTGTACCTTTAGTAACTACTGCAATCCTGGTTTTATAGAATACATAAATACTAAAGAATAAAGATGAAGCTTAAACAAAAATGAATATTTAACTAGTTTATGTACTGTTGTAAAATAGTATTAACAATTGCCTACTACTTCCAGATTTAACAGACATTAGACACACATCATGTGTTGTTTGTTTTTTACCATATATTAGAGATTATTTATATAACATGCATGTAAAAAAATATTACATGGATTTTGATTCAGATCTGCTCGTCATCATTTTAGGCTGCACTGATTTTAACAGTGATACACTTTGATATAGAATAATAATATAGTAATAAAGCACACTACATACATAATCAGGTCATATTATGAAGTATAAAGGTACAACATTTTTTCACCTTGTTAATGTTGCTTTTGTGGGTGTCAACCTGACAATAAAACAAACCTAAAACATGTGAGCCTGGTCATTATTGGTTCATGTTATGTGGTGCTTCGCAGTCAAACAAGTTGGACCAAGAGCTACTGTACAGGGCTGAAAATAAGACTTCAACACTGTTTGATCGAGTTCAGGTTTTATAAGCATAAGGCTCTTATAAAGATCGAGTCAAGACTGATGAAGCCAAAAAGCATTTATATTAATAGATTTTTTTTAAAACAAATATTTTTTAACTCCAAATGTTTCGGCAAATGTATCCTGAATAAAGTGACATGCATGAAATATTTTGCACCTGATGCTGGTTTATATAAAAGAGCCTGCAGCTTGTAAGAGCCGAAATGGGTCAAATCGTCATGCAATGGGATTGTCACAGTATTTCCATCCTTGCCGCTAGCAGCATGAATTTTGGAAATCAGACACAGACCCAGCATTTGCTCAACACCAGATCCCCTGTTAATGTAAGTCATGGAGCCACTGCAGTCCTTTATTTTCACCACAAGAAATTATCAGGATCTGTGGGCACCCACAGAATGGAAATATGTGAATAAAATTTTTGCCATTGCAAATGTGTGGCTTGGATGGCAGATAGTTAAATATATCATTTTTCTTCAACAAACTCACCTTTGGCTGTGAGGTCTACATTCCACCAGCCATACATATTGAACTCCACCAAAAATCTAAAAGAAAAACAAGCAAAAAAAGAAAACATTAAAATAACCTATTTTCAAATAATTACCAATAACTTTACAGTGGCCTTTTTAAATGTGATTTCCTCTCAAGGGGTAAAAAGGGTCTACGAAGGAAAAGGGTGTATTTAAAGAAATATCTACAATGTGCACATTTATTGGGAAAGAGTATTACTTAGAGAGAAGTGTTTTTAATTGACCAGGACAGCGTGGTAATTACTGGGTGAGAAGTCAAAGAGAAAATCAAAATGAAAGAGACAGAAATTCTAGTGCAAATAATAAAATCTGTAACAGAAAAGTAATAAATCCATTTGGGATTCCCACTTAGAAAATAATGAGAATTTGAAATCACACTCTAGGCCACCCAGAGTGCATGTTCTTGAAATTGTACTGTAGCCACACAAGGCTCAGTCTGAATTGTGAGCTGGTAGACACCAACTACAGTAATAGATACATAAGGTTGTCATTACCTCTTTTCAATGCTGGGGACATTTTCTCGACACTAAAAACAATTATCACAAAGAATCGATTCCAAACAAAAAACACAGCAGAACAACAACAACAAAAAAAGATTACTGGACTTTTACTCACATGATAATTTCGGTCATGATCCATTTAATAACACCAAAGAAGGCAAAATAAGGCTTAAGGAGAAAAAAAATATTGTGAGCAATCACTATATACAGTATTTTCATCCTTCTTGAAGCATCAAGATGTATGTTCATTTACAGTCTCATGATTGACAAAATAGCACAAAGTATTTCAAGTCATTAAGGAAGTGGCTTCCCATATTGTCTTGTGTGGGGACCACCTCTGAGATAAGAACAGCGACACAGATCGCAGCAAATAAATCAAACACTTTCATATTAACAGGGAGATAGGAAAAGGAGCATTTTGGTATCTCCTTTTTAAGGTGGTTTTTGTGACCATCTGGAACTTAATCATAGCCTGCTGGTAAACCCCAGACCACAAAACCATGGTAAATGGGAATCTAGCAAGTACAGCTGTATCAACACGCATGATATTTGGTACTATATATAAAGAAACAGAACAAAGTAAAATCACAAAATTAAAGGAATATTTTATAATGCATCTGAGTTTTATATTTATAATCTGGTGCATATTGTATGACATTTATGAATACAGAAATAAATAAATAAGATAATGTAATATAATAAATGTGGTGAAGAGACATCTCTAAGAGGAATGCCAGGGATGAGGTTGGCAGATACTGTATATCAGTAGAACCATAAAGCTTTTTTAGATTATCGAGCTATACAAGCGACACAGTGCTAACTTGCTTTCTCAGGACACTTCCTGGCACTGTGTTTTGAGAGATCTTTCCTGAGAAATTCTTGCTTATGACAGTGAATTCGTGCACCCAATGACTAAGAAACAACAGTGGAACGCAGAAAATAGACAGCACCATGAGGCAGACAGATTTAGATGCTTCCTATAACAAAATGACTCCCCCCCCTCTTAAAAAGAAAACGGTATCACACTTTTGTAACCTTTTGCAAAAGAGCCAGTTTTGGGTATAAGCATCTGCGGCAGGCCCAGTCTCATGAACATGACCATATATCACTGTGCTTGTGTTGGCTCTGTTTCATGCCTGGTGTTGTGTCACAAACGCGTCATTTCCACTCCCAGGATGATCATTTAATACAGAGTGGCTCTGCATAGCTTTGGAAAATGCTCATTTCATCAAAATACTTACGTCTAATAAACTGTTTGAACTGTCGCTGCTTTCAGCGAAGATTTTACAGATGGCTTGATAGTCGTAAAGCGTAACCCTAGAAAGAAGAAGCAATAATCATACAGTATAATAAAGTACCATTCCTGAGTGTACTTAAATGCAATATAAGGGTAAAGAATGCTAGGATTTCACAAGCTAACAACTTCCTCTCCGATTTAGATGCCCACTAAAATTCCTTTCAGCCTTTATTTTGGTCTCTTTAAGTACAAATGCCTACAAAATATCCTGCAATTTTCTACTGAGATCAAAGCACTGAAATGAGTAAGAAAAGCCCACTGTGTCCCATTTATCTCATGTTCATCTCACATGCCACAAGGGAGAGATTTAACAAGAACAACCGCATAACTATTGTTTAGACAACTCAGGGGAGCCGGACTTTAAAATGTCAAACATGGACACGATGATGAGATTTTGTATTCATGAAATATGTCAACCCGTGTAGGTCAATAGACAAACCCCCCCAAATATCCAGGACTCGGGGAAAAACAAACCCTCTAAAATATTTTATTCCAGACTTAATTTTCTGTACTTATGTATGACAGATACTGTATATTGTATTGTGGTCAAAAAGCTTCAAGGTTGACCTTTAACCTGCACCACTACAATACCCAGGCACTGTCAAAAACTGAAGAAGCCTTAATTAAGAAATTAAGAAATTCTGATTGGATTAATCTCTTAAGACTTCCAGCCTGATTTTGCTGAAATTTTGTACAGAACTTACTCCTGAGAGCTTTCGGAAACACAGCTAATGTAATTAATGTAATGTATTAATGAAAATACAATTGTATACAGCTCAATTTTGGGAATTATCCAGATTTGGTAAGGTTCTAGACTTTTTAAGTGAACAGGCGACAACAGCTGGAGTAGAAGGAACTTCTTTGGGACACAGGCAGTAGTTGTAGTCACTGGAGCTGTCGAAAGTGTTTCTGCATCAGAACTGGAGCCAGCTGTTAGATCCTGAATCTTGATTTGATATCTCTTTCAGGAACCTCTGAATGTCTGGTGAAGACAGCACACACAAACAGTGGGGCAAGAGCTCATCTCACCCTGCAGGAGGCTTGAAAACTCTTGGAAATCCTGGGGACTGACATCACCATACTGCTAGATAACCGATTGCCTCTCTCATTAATCTGAGTCATGGCAGCAATGAGGCATTTAGCCAGGATCTGAACCTCTGTCTCTTTTTCTCAAACAACAATAAGTTCACCACAGCAAAAGGTTGGCCTCACACTACAGCAGACCTGAACATTATTGAGTCCTGAAGAAGAACGAATTAGACTGCCAAAACAATCTTATATTACCCCGTGCAACCTCTGACCCTAGTCTGGAACCGGACCTGAGCTACCAGAGCTGCTCCAGACACTGGGCCTTGCCAACTCCAGTGCCTGCTGAGAAGAGGGAGAGATTTCCCTGGCTGAACTCGGAAGGCACTGAGTGTCTCAGCACTCCTCACCTTCAACATATTCCAAAATCATCACACCATCTGCCACGATTGAGTACTCTCGCCTGGTGGACACATGCAGTGTTTGTGACAAGTATGAACTATGAGAGGTGCTGTCAGGGAGGTCTTTATATCTTTTTTTTTTACCAGGAATTTGAATAATAAAATTACGAAGTGTAACATTCAGGTCAGAATCACATCAAGTGAACACTGTGTGAAAACTGCACCTTTTAGAAGTTTATCCTGTTCAGGAATTTGCAATCTGTAGTGTGTTATTAATAGCATGCTGGACACAAAAAGAACAAATCAGTCCTATTTGCTGCCTGGGGAAAAGCCTGGCTTCTTCTCATTCACAGCACCAGTGAGACATAATACTTATCTTGATTCAATTAAATACAATCCAGTAAAATTTACAGCATTAACAGTTCATTTTATCTCAGTAAAATAAAAATGTGGCAACATTTGGCAGCAATAATTCCTATTCTTAATTATAGCTCAAGTAATACACTCAAAACTTGGTTCCCCACAAACACTTCAGCACAAGTGGCATCATTTTCACACCACAACATATGAAGTTGGAATTCAATTTCCTTCGGCTACGTCACAGTGATCGTACTGTATAGTATTATGTGAGACACGCAGCAGCATTTTCTGAAGTTTCCTAAGAATATAAATTCTGCAGTATTTCTTTCAACATACAGCAATATATTTAAGGAACAGATACATTTACTGGATTTTTATGGTCCACTAACTTGACAATTGAATTTCAGGGAAAACCAGACACTTTTTTAGAATATGCTTTTACAACGTACAGTGATTTAAAATGAGAAATCAAATGTTACTGACATGAAAGATCCTTCAGGCTTTCTCTATGCAAATGGCTACCAGTGACAGTTATCAAAGAACTTGCAAATCAAAGGAAATTCGGAATAAACAGCATCTCACTTCTGAAGAGATTTAGAACAAATACCAATAAGCAATATTCTAATTACAGTTATAGAAGACCAAAATCAGACATAGTGCATAACCTAGCATTCTTAAATAATGACAAAATAGTAAAAATTGAATATTTGTATGTATTTTTATTTCCATGGATATATCTAGAAGACAACAAAGCATAGAAGTAAATTAAACCCTTTTCTATGTCAAATACAAGCCACAGTAACTGCAGATACTGGATTTCATTAGTTATTAAACTTCTTCAAAACAAATGGGACAAACTCTACATGAGGAACAATGCAACCACATATGTAATGTGCCTCCTACATTCCTCCATTAATCATTTCTAAAAGTTTGTCAGGCTTCACTGCTTACATACTTAGATGTAGAAATGTTGTAGATCCAGATGTCTTTTCTCAATCTCCCTTCTTTATTGTATTAAGACCTCATATTCAAAACAAGATTTTAACTAATCCTTGAACTCACATTTGTTCTTAGAAGACCAAGGATGCCTCAGAATTCTCCTATGGGATTTGCTTGCTTAATGTTGTCAGTGTCTGTGAGCAGTACTGTAGGTGACATACTGTAACTACACCTCTTGATGTGAGACCTTAACACTTCAAACTATTTCTGCTTATGTCTCATTTTTTCTATAAGGCGGGTATAATACTTGAGAAAGGACTTTATCCAAATGCTTTTTGGAGAGCGCGTTCTGTAATTACAGGCACATATTCATTTTTACCTTTTAAATGAGCCCATTATTAACAATTTGTTCATCACGGCTCCTTCCACTTCACCAAAGAAGGTCCCCGTCTTGGAAGGCGCATGGTTTTGAAGAAAAGTGAGGAAAAAACACTTTAAAGATGAATAAGAAATCAGAAGTGACAAGGATTGGACAAAAGCATCTTTGGTAGCCGTTGACCAGCCCAACCAAAATCCCAAAAGTGAAAGTAGCAGGAAGATGGTAATAATCATGGCAATAATCCAAGCAACTTGAAAAAGAGTCAAGTGACTCTTACACAGTTGGCTAGAGAAGATCATGAAACAGGGGATTTTGGAAGAGTGGTGTCAAACTCCATTCCTGGTAGGCTCGGTGTCTTCAGGTCTTTGTTCCAACCTGAGTCCTCAATTAATAAACCTAATTATTTTCTTGACATACTGTACAGTAGAAAAGATTTCTCCTAAGGTCTTTTGCAGATGATGTTTCTAAAAAGTCCTCCAGTAAAAAAAAAAAAAACACTATTAACTACTGTATAAAACACCTTTGAGTCCTGATTTAAGTATTAAGAATTCTACTGTTCATTAAGTAATTAAGCCAATTATGTAACCAAGAACTGAAGTGGAACAGAGGGTAGAAGAGACCGACACCAGGCCCTACAGGACCTGAGTTTTATACCCCTAGTGTAACACAACAAAATCCTTTCTATGGTCTGATGTACTGCGTAAGCTAGTTTTCATGGTAACCTTCAATCATCTACCGTAATAATACGTAATAATACGTGAATGCCTATTAATTAAGGGTTCTACAAACATAAGGAGTGGCTTTACTGCATAGATATAGATTCAAGTTGACTGCTCTGGGATATAAATAATCTTGCTTCAGGTGATGTCAGAATCCATAATCTGCCTAGTAGATAGCCTGATGGTTTTGACAACACATTACAGGGAGCTCCACTCATACCTTCAAATACTGTATCTTGACATATACAATTCTCTTGCAGGGCCAGGAGTTTTATATTGACAATTACAATGAATCTTATTAGAATTCTGAATGCATGGTAAAACTAATTGAAGATGACAATAACTACCAGTTTACCAAACTGTATATAACATTGCAAAAAAAAACCTTAGCTGTTTCAAAAGACTTTCACTTACTTGAAAAAATAGATCTATCAAGTCATTTATTTATTTATTGATGGTGTTGCAAACTAGAAAGTAATGTAAAGACATGGAGTCATACTGGACCTCTAGATCCCCTATGCTTTAAACACAGAACCACTTACAGTATGTCATATTAAACTGCTGGATATAGGGAGTTCAAATATTCTGGGATTTAACTTGAATGAGAATAAAAACATAAATGTCAGAATGTCTTACCTGGGAGTAATCTTCTGAAACCAAAATAAAACCATTGTTGTCAATGAGGTAACAGTTGATATTCTGTTTGAAAAAGAAAATAAAACCAAATGAAACAGCATCTAATCACTGACACAAGAAAAACGGGAAAAAGAATAGTTTTCAAATAAATGCACTTACTTCATTGTCACAGCTTATTGAACACTTCCCATCAAGGGCAGCACACTGAATAACAGTCAAAGAATAATAAAAACAATTAACACAACACTTGCAGCTGATCTAGTCTCTCAATGACTGAATACAAAATGCTTATATTTTTTAGTCACTTTACCAGAAGCGATGATGTACTGTACAATGTGAAGAGCTTGTCAGTAGTGGCTCAGTTGACATGCTGAAGAGCCTGGGGCTTTTATGAACAGAATGGTGGTAAGTCATTCAAGTGGCACTCTGTGAAAGTCTTGAGGATGTCCGCAAGGGACCCTCTAGCTCCCTAAAATGAACTACTGGTGGGTCCTGCAGGTGTAGCTTGGAGATAGTGCCACGCAGAAGACGATGACTCAGGAAAAACGATCCCCCTCTGCTGCACAGAGCTGGGATGGCTCGCCCGCTCTCCGAGACAGGAAGACCGCACGTGGCCTGTTTGAACTGGAGGAGGGAGCAGGGGCTTCATTCCAGGGTGCTGTCACGATCGCTACTCCTCCTCTTAAGGGCGCTCCAGCCCTTCCTCGTTCTCTCCCATTACCCACACCTGTTCCCTATTTCAGTTCCTCCTTAAAAGCCAGACGCAGACGTCACTCGAGGCTCCTCATAGAATTCCGTTTCGTGAGAGCCCGGGTCCTGCTGCATCTGGCTCCCTCATGGTTTTAACCTTCTGTTCCTGATCCCCCCCCCCCTTTAGCTTCTGTCTTGGATTACCTGTTAGGATTTTCTCTTGGATCGTTCGCCCCGGACTCACTCCCCCTGGACACCTGCACCCCTTGGACACGCCCCCTGTCTCCATACCCTCTCCTGCATGACTTTTTCCCCAGTGTTACCTCACAATTCTGGACTGTGTCGTCTGCATAGGGCCCGGAAGGGACTGTTCACGACAGGTGCCATGAGAGAGAGGCCCCCAAGCGACCCGAAGATCAGGCCTGACCCTTCATTGAACCAGCGCACTGCCACTGCCAGTGATGGCAATGCGTCTTTGAGTGTGTGGAGGGTGCAGGATCGTCTGGCCCTTCGGAAGAGAGGCCATTCCCCTGTAAGTCACTGTGCACGGGCTTGTGTGCTGTGACAGCCTGCCGCAAGCTGGCTGGGAAGCTAAGTAAATGAAAAAGCTGCCATGTTCTAAAAACCCATTGCTGTATCAGACCCAAATTCTTTCCTGCGATATAATACAATAAGCACTTCAGCCTACCTGTCGGCTAGCAGTCCAGAACTTTCTTTGGAAGAATTCCAGCTTCATCTGGATACCTACAGCTGTTTAAGAGTGTTCACAATTAAAAATGAGAAATGTCGCAGTGAAACTGTGGCAGAGCAGTTAAACTCCAAAAAACATTTTACAATGTGTTGTTGAAGTGTTTTAACAATGACATTCCAAAGACTGCAAAGCATTTCTTAAAAAAAATGTTTGAAAGTTTTTTTTTTCTCTCCAACAAAGTGATTTACATACAGTACAGGTGTGAATTTCATCCCCCGCTGAAGTACAGCACTCAACTGGTTGACACATGGCACTCAATATGAGCTAGGCAGCAGATCAGATGGAGTGTATTGGTTAATCACTGCTTGTATTGAAAGGGGAACTTATTTAGGTTAGATCATTCAAGCCCATTCAAATGCTCAGCCAAGATACCATTTATTCACACCCATATTCTTATGAACAGTGAAATATTATCTTTAAGTGCCAAAAAGAGCTCAGTTTAATATCTCATCTGAAGCACAGCACCAGGTCCCCTTTTATTATACTGGAGCATTGATTTGGAAATTGCTACAAATTGGTACAGTATTGCAGCTGCTGTGTGATTATTGATAGAAATACAAATAGCAACATATCAAACAGAAAATAGGCATTGGTGTCGCAGACTAGAGGGCAAAGTGACTTTTAGAAAGTTTCCTGAAAAATGTTTAGGACATGAAGACCATGACAAACTCTGTATTCTGTCCCTGCCCTTTGACACTGGCTTCTACTCAAGCAAATAGAAGCTAACAGAGCAACTCGAACATGAAAGAGCTGTCTAACACTCTGTAAAGGAAAGAATGGTGTGCTCTCCTGACTTTTGGATAAATTCACTACATTACAAAACGAGTAATGTCTTTTTAACGCAAATTCATTCATGGTAAACAAAACAAAAACTGCTGGAGGCTCACTGCAGATTCTGCCAACAAACACACCACATGGACGAACATGTCCCTTAGGGTATACTAAAGCACTGCAGTCTCTGTGTCACAGACAGAGATGTATTCTGTGTATAAGCACATCCACCACTTATTAAAGAAAATAAAGTCTTCGTGCTATGTCATCTGTATAGCTTGCATCAGTATGGGCTCTGCAGTTTACACCTTCAGATACTACACAGCATTAACCCCCTGTCAGACCGGAAAGCCAAAGGCCAGTCTTTTTGGCTGGGACAGTTACCTAGTGAGCCCTTAGCCTGGTCTCACCATGCTGTGAACCTCAAATGTTTATAGTTGCTAGATATCAATTCTCATCCAAAAATGCTATTGCAAGTGATATTTAATAAGAAAAAGTCAAAATGGAGGATTCAAAAGAACATATGGTCTTTGTATTGCACGGTTTAAATATCTGAGTGTAACAGATGCCGTTTATTTTCTTTTTTAACAGTAGGCCTGGAAAGTATTTTGAAATCTGGGAGCTGAAAATTCTCCTGAAAGGCCACAAGAGTTTGCAGGAGCAGCACTGCACAGGTTTTATTTCTTAAAATGCATAGCACTTTCAAAAATGCAAAAGTAAGGGACATTCTTTTTCATTGGTTCTACAAATATTTTGATCTTTTGAGAAAAATCCATAAACAACGAGAGAGATGTTGGAAGACCATAATATCTATTAAGTTCACTAGAATCACTTTTAATCTTTTGATTAGTTATCTTGTGATCTCAATAAAATTCAAAAGATCAAGACATGGAGAAGAAGCTTGCAATAATATTTTTGTCTATGACCTATTCTGTTCTAGACTTATACTTAAATAGGGAAGCTTGTCTCTTTTTTTGCTGTTTTCAATTATGCTTGGTAAAATATATCATATTCCTTTACCCTTTGAGATTTGTGCAATGTGCACAGAATGTATGTTTTCTTTCTGCCTTGTTTTTGCAGCGTTTGTTATTGTTATCAAATATGAAAAGCTGTGATCTGTCTTAACTTAATCCACCAGAGAAACAGATATCTTGCGTGTTGTAAAACTGTGACTTTTGCTTTTTCTTTCTCAATAAAAGCAAACATCCTGCAAGACTTTTTTTTTTATAAGTGTAAAGGTTACTGCTAAATACCTATAGGCAGTTTTGCAAGTGATTTTTCACACTTGTGGTTCACATATATGGTATAAAGATATAAAGAAATAACATTTTTGTTATTTATTAAACAAATTCAAAATCTTTGAGTTTCTACCAATTCCAAATTAGGACATTTAGATACATTCTTTAGGCCTACAGTATTAATATTATTCTTTAGTATAAAATAGTTCTACACCTGGTTTATGTCATTAAATACTTTGTGACAGATTACGATAATTTACTTCAGAAATGTAATTACACTCAACAGTATGTGTTTAACATTCTTTCAAAGGAATGAGAATAAGATGGACGTGATTCATCGTTGCATGCAACAATTCCATTTTCAAGTATCTGCATTTGATAAAAACAATGAAGGATACATCTGAACTGGCAGAAAAAGCAGTATTAGTTTAGCTTTTTACACCAGAATACAGATGTACGAGAAGCACTGTAGCTTTAACAGTGAGCTCTGACATTATCATCAAAGGTCAGAGACAATGATCTAGGCCATGGTTTAGAAATCTGGCAGTGGTCTAATGCGGATTGAGCACATAACAAAATGAAATAATCCCCCTGCATTAATATAAAATGGACAGACCATCTATTTTTGAGCTCACAAAGAACAATAATAAAAACAGGGATGTCAAATATTTTCGACAGAAATGTTTCCCTTATATAATCAATCTCTGCCTTCGTTTTCCCTCCACCAAATTAGTCAACTGTGGCCTTGACATTCCAATAATTGTCCAATTATTATCATAATATTATGAGAACATCAATAGCAAATCATGCAAAAAAGCTAATTAGTTTATCTCCTCTGGATTTTAGATGGGCTCTGTACGGAGTACTAAAAAATGCATTGACCTCATAATATTTGTTACTGAGGCAAAGCTGAGTCATTCAATTGTCCATGTCTAAGAATATGAAACAATATTAATTCTGAGAAGAGATGACAAATTCTGCTATCCCAATACTTGTGGAGTTTTAATATTTCTCATACTTGAATAATAAACACTCATTAGAGCAATGGAATGGGATGAGTAAAATTTATTTTCTGGAACTTGTTAATGAGGTATATAGTAGAACTTTCCCCTTTTCCTATTTTTTTTTTCAAAGTATTTTTGGAAGTACCTTGCACCCCTTCTCTGTTCAAAAACTGCACTGTAGGCTTTGCAGATGAAAAAAGATCTATGAAGTGAAGTTGTTGTATTTTTATTACAGTTCCGGTCAATTAATTCAATGGTGAAAGTACGTTGACAGATATTTATCTCTGGCATTCACTTTGTCCACACGATTTCTACTTTTAGCAAAGCCACAAGGCAGCACAGGTGCAGATTAAGTGGAGCAGCCAGTCAATAAACAACCCAAAGACCTTTAGCAACAGTATTTTAGAGTCTATCAGAGGCATAAAAAAACAACACATGCAACCTTAAGCTATAAATCAACACCATTCATAATCATGAAAGAGAATGTTGTATACTAATGAGTTTAGATGTTCAATTTAAATGAAAGAAAAGGTTAGCAGTTATTAAACAGTAAGTTATCACAAATCTTCTGAAATCATAAGCACTGCATTGCTCTTAAAAGGATACTGAATCCACATCCTACAAATCTATTACTGTTTGTATTAGCAGGGAAACGAATTAGAGCAGGACAACCCAGATTTACAGATTAAGTCTTTGTTCAACCATGTGCAATTACAAAAATGAAAGAGTATTACATCCGTGCAGGTTTGAGCTGCGTGAATGGGTAAATCAAAGTGCGTAATATCTCATATGATAAAGACAGAAATTAAAGAAGATCTTGAATGTCTAGAATATAAGCATATAGGAATGTTACCATGAAGAGGAAACTATTCGACTCATACTTGTTTGGTTCCTAGTAGCTTATTACTTCAAAGATCTCCTCCAGATGTTTCTTGAAGGTTTCCAGAGAACTGGCTTCAACAGCACGACTTGGCAGGTAGCTCCAGGCACCCACCAACAACCCTTTATAAAAAAAAAGTGTCTCCTGTTCCCAGTCGTAATTACTGCTCCTCGTAATTTCCATTTGTGCCCTTGTGATGTTGTCTCACTGCTGAGCATGAGGTAATCCACTGGTTTAACTACTGTAAATCAATACATTTCAGGATTTTGAATACTGGAATCAGATTCTCTCATACAATAATCTCTCTGCTCAAAACTGGAGAGACTCAGTAGCTTCAACATAATCAGCGAATGACGATCCTTTTATCTTTTTTCATGGCAGCATAAATCACCACAATTGTGATTATCACTATATCTTTTACATCAGATGATAAACTTCGTCACAAATTTGTTGTCAGTGGTTGTTAATAATTACTAGCATACTGAACATAAGAGCAGACACAATACCAATGGAAATGTTAACACTGCTGGCACACCGCACTGCTTGTTTTCGGTCTAAAAATCGCCGCTCTTGGGCAAGTTTTGGGAATCACAGGCAAAAGCATTTTGGCGCGCAGTGACCTGAAATTCCATCTGCTGCCTTTTACACAGCCAAAGAACTGCTTTCCATCCTGACGATATCAGTTCCAAAACAAAAGTGCAAAACATACTGCGCGAGCTTGCAGGGGATTTCACAATGCTTGGGAAAAGATAGCAAACAAGTGCAGAACTCAAGGAAAGCTCACAGAAGGACAGAAAGACAAAAGCAGCCAAGAGCAACATGACAGACCAACCAATGGAAGCAAGAATGTCCCGTCAACTTTGCATCATGCACTAAAATAAGTTAAAACCTGTATCATTGGGTTTCTTTCACATTTAGCAGGATTGCTGCCTTTAGGACAGGAAAAATAAATATTTTTACTTTGACAAATTATGTTGATATAATTCATGCCTCTATACCAAGAGCTGTCATATTGCTGTGGGCTGTTACAATTCCCTGGTATCTAGTCATGCAATAAGGGAGCATATGGTAGCAGAGTAGAGACTGTTTCCTGAGACTGGCGAGAAATATTTTCTCACCATCTTCTGAACTTGGTGCTGTGTGAAACACTCACAGCACTGTAGATTCAGCTGCAAAGGGAAAGAAAGTACTATATTTCTATGGCCCAGAACACCCACGCTAAGAAATACTCAGAATAATCAAATTCATATTGTCAAAGCATCTTTTTTTAAATATATGACTTCATTTATATTGTTATGTAACATATTTCTGTACATGCATGACTGAATGCCCATATTGTGGAATATTGCATCTCTGACACAAAAACTTGGATGACTCAAAATTTCCTTCATCTTAACTGTGACAAACCTGAAGTCATGCTTTTTGGCACCCCCCATCAACTTTGTAAAGCCAATCCTGTAACCCTGTCTGTGGATGGTAATGAATTTGAGCTTCGGTCTCAATTGAAAAATCTTGGGGTGATATTTGATTCAGGCTTAACATTCGACCCACATGTGCAGCATATTGTTTAAACATCTTTCTTTTACCTTAGCAACATCGCTGGACTAGGCCTTATTGTATCACTAACTGTGGCTGAAAAGCTAATCAACACATTTATCTTCTGAATTGATAACTGTAATGTTCTACTCGCTGGGGTACCTTAATCCACATTGAACAAACTCCAGTATGTTCAAAATTCGGCAGCCGGAATCCTCACCAGGTCTAGTGCAAGTGATCACATTACTCCTGTCCCGGAGTCCTTACACTGGCTTCCTGTCAAGTTTCGTGTGGACTTTAAAACCCTCATGCTCAACTACTGTATAAGGCTCTGCATGGCTTGGCACCTCAGTACCTGTATGATCCTTTATCACCCTACTCCCCAACTCGCAACCTTCGCTCCTCTAATTCTGGTCTACTAACTGTCCCCCGAGCCTGTCTAGACTGTATGGGTGACAGGGCCTTCTCCCGTTATGCCCCGAAGCTCTGGAATTCTCTCCCCAAGGCCATCAGAGACTCAGCTTCTCTAAACTCCTTCAAAGAGAAGGCAGACTCCAAACCTTCTTCTTTACTTAACTGGTTCAATTCTTTACCCATCTGCTCCTACTGTATTTAGTACCACCATCTACTGTCTCCTCTGCGTATTCTCATCATGTTTATCTTGTGTATTTTTTATTGTTTATTGTGTATTTTCTATTGTTTATTTTAAACTGTTGTTGACATTCTGTTAAAGCGCTTTGAGAAGCCAACTTTAATGGCGCTATATAAAACAAAGTTTATTATATTAATTTATAGTATAAAGACATTGGATGTGTATGAATACAAAAGATGGGATACGTTAAATAGAAATTAAGTAAAAGATGGAAATGAAGACGAAAATCAGACCAGGATATGAATCTCTGCTGAAGAACATCCATTCCACAGCTATTATTGTGAAACATAGACATTTGTATTTCTCACCTGTGTCTCTGAAAGATTATTTACAGAAATACAGAAAAACAGAAAAACAGAAATTTTGGTAGATATGTTCTAAATGTAATACTTAATGAAGAGAGCAAGATACAAAAATAACAAAACAAAGAGTGCATACAATAAAGTAGGTCAGCGTGAATGTATATGTGGCTTTAGATGATAATAATCTTTGTCATTTTGAATCAGCTCAGTGCATTTTAGTTATACAGCCACTGGAGACAGATTAGCAAGCTTGAAGGTTTTTCCTTTTTAATTTCTAATTCTCTGGTGGATTTGATTAAATTTAAAATCTCTGACTGAGGCCCCATGATACTGTTGGAAGTTTTTTTTGTGCTAAAATTAAAAATCCACCAATAGTATTCAAAAACCGAAGCCTAGTAACAGAATGTTTGGAGGATTTTTACAAAGCTACTAGTTAGCTAATGCTTTTTGCATTGCTTTAGGCATTTTAATGCTACAAAAGGGATTCTAGAAGTGATATTAATTACATCCCCTGTGTCCTGATGTGCCATGTAAATGGATATGAAAAACTTAGCTTGACATCATTTCTTACTCCCTGCTCACGAAGAAAGCATTAACTGTGCACCTTGGATGTTCATTTTTGCAGTACTTGAAAATTTCTAATATACAGTACATTTTCTGATTTAAGACTCAGTGGAAGGTGGAAATTCAGTTTCAAGACAGGTTTTAATTACTGCTAATTAAAATACTAATGCCTCAGATCAATGAGTGTTTCACAATGAACAGCTGTTGAAGAATTACTTTATAAATAGCATTTGGATTAAAAAATAGTTTCTCATTTGTCTGTTATCCCATTATGCCAGATATATTACAGATATTCAAATAAACTGACTACAAGTCCTACAATTTCATATACTGTGTATATAAATTGCATACGCATTCATACAGTATATGGCAATGAAAGGGGTTTCAATACAATGAGAAGTGACGGAAACTGGGATTTTCTGTAGACAAACTTGAGAGAATCCCAAAGAGCCCAACTGATCTGTTAACTAAAGAAAGAGACAAAAATTCAGAAATTAGTCAGACAATTTGCAGTGGATACAATGTCTATGTATTAATGGATAAAACCAAGAGTCAAACATCGGCTCTAAGAAATCACTCTTCCGTGTTTTAGAATTGATAGTAAAAGCTAATCTCCTGATGACAAGACAGTCCACCCCCTCTCAACTTACATTTGTGCCACATACGTTGTAAGTCACATCCATATCATCAAAATACTGGCCTTCTCTCTGTAAAAATACACAGCCCGCTGCCTCCAATCAGAACCTGAGCTCCCTGCGATCCATGTGCAGTATCATCTGACCTTACAAGGTTTGACATGGCATGGCTAATAAGTACAAAGAATGCCACAACTGGATTTGAGAAGGCAGCTTTTATTTTTGTCCCATGAACTTCGGGCAGATTAAAAAAAATATATATAAAAGCTAAGCTATTAGATTGTGATTTGCAAAGCACAGCTGTCCGGTGCAAGCTGATAAACAGTCTCTACATGGTCTGCTGAACAGGGAAAGAGAAAGAGGAAGCCAGGGAGAGGGAACAGGAGTCAGAGAGAGAGCAGCCTTGTGGTTCAATTCACAACTGAAACCCTGGCACAGGCAGAGGCTTATTTGAACACCAAAGTTAACAACTCAGATGGGGTCACTTTTGTCATCTGCTGCACAACTCCAATATTTCTGGTGGGTGACACTGGAGCCTCATGCTCACCTATGAAGCTGTTTTGGAAGACACTATTTTGCTGTCTGATGCAGTACTGCATTTTTCATGTGGAACGATAATAAAGAGAATCAGATTAAGAAAGCCTTACAAAGGGGGTTTTCCAACAGCCAGCAATGACAGGTAGGACAAAAATACTTTTTACAACCCATGCTTGATTAATAACCCTATTCTCCTTTTTATGTCTGTGATGAATTAAAAACATTATCACCATCATCATCATCCTCCACCTCTTCCTCCCCACCGTGTCTTGTGTTCTTTATACTTTCTCATCTGAAACTGTGTATCAGTGAAAATAATATTACGTTCCATAAAACCATTATGCTTCACATGGGATTTCTTCTAAGTTAGTAGAACTCACAATTTGAAAGCTGACATATTCCAAAGAATACAGTAATGGGATTCAGAATTCATCACCTTGATGATGTCTCTAATAGAAGGGTTGGATGCAGATTTAATCATGCTTGCTGTTAACGATTAATGTTACTCCCTCAAGTTAAATAAATAAGCACCAGCCAAGTGATATGCTAATGAAATCATTTTAAGGTGACAATGAAAATTGTTTATAAAGAAATAGTATTACAGTTACTGCTAAGTTTCATTTTTAAAATTCTGATTCCCTCCCTACAATTATAAGCCAAATACTGGCTTTTACAAGACTGGACAGTGGAAATTATTTCAGCATGAAGTAATAGTAAATTTCATCTAGGCTTCTTCTCAGTCCATTAATTATTTTAGTAATTCCACTTAGCAGATGTTTTCACATGAGGCTGCGAGGTCATGTTATACAGTTGTGCCTTGGAGGCTTTCCTTTGGAGGAGAAAACAACTTCCATGGTCTCATTAACGAATATGAGCACATTTTATTAAAACCGCTTAATGTCGAGTCTACAGTTCGTTGGTTTTGATGCAACGAGCTTACAGGGTAGTGAAACTGCATAACAGACATCCACAGCAGAGAGAGGGTCATCCATATGGACACATAAGGAAAGAAATCATGGACAGTAGTGTGAGAAGGTTACATGCACCATAGAAAATGCTCTTCCAATTACATCCACATGGTCTATAAACACAGTCTAATCAAACCTTTTTCAGTCAGAGCCTTAATTCCTTTTCTACAGAGGTAAAGACAATACAAATACTAACCTTATACAAGAAACCTGGAAAGAAAAAAATACACCAGCTGCTTTAGTTAGTCCTTATTGCAAGGAATGTTGTGCAGTGTGAAATAAATGATCTCAAGAAGTCTCTGTAAATGTCACTGCACAGATGCGTAATCATTACACTTCTTTAAAACACTAGGTGGGTCAACAGGTTATAAATAATCAAGTATATTAGACCTCGATCTACTTGGAAGTACACATTTTTCCTTCAATGTTTGGTCAAGGTTTGGTTTCCTGCATATGGAAGAACTAATATATTGGATGAAGTTCAGTACAGCCGAGCTAGGCTACTATACTATCGAATACTGGATACTACTGTACTTCAGACTGCACGTGTCTAATTCATTTTGGGAACTTAATGGGACATTGAAGAAATCAAAACTTTATAACCAGCTTCCTGTGTTTGGGAGAAAATAAAAAAGATAATTTTCAAACATATTTCTTAGCTGAGTCTAATACTCCTAAGCAATAAAAAATGGGATGTTTTAATTAACACTGTAAGTTTACAAACTGTCTAGGACATGATTGACAAGCAATCAATAATATGTGTCGCAGTGCATGTCACACAGGATGGAAAAGACCTGTTTCTTAATTGATCTACATAGTACATTAAAGGGATGTACAACATTTAATTAAATCAAAAATTAGTACTTTGTGGTCATCTCACACAGCATTTTCTGTCATACAAATTAAAATAACAACATTTACATGGAAGACAGGATCATGGGCAAGCTAATCACATTTGTGACAAGGTAGTTACACTTTACTCATAAGTTTAATAAATTAATACAGACTGGAACACTTGCCAGCTGGAAGAGCAGATGAGAGGATGAGAGGATGAGGGGATAAGGGAACAGCCACTGTAAATTACATGTTCAGTACAGTACTTCTTGGGTTCTGGCCAACATACACTATAGGGATAGCAGAAAAACATAATAGACCATATACGTTTTTAAGAGCTGATACCAAAGGGAATACCTAATTAATTACAGAGGTGGCCAAAAACAAAGTCCCGTGTTAAAATTTGGAAGAAGAGTCTTTGTTTGCATTTTGAGGAAAGTAGACAAGCTACTGTACCACAATGCTTAGCACTGAAATTGTGTAGGATGAGAACAGAGATTCCAGAAAGAACAAAAATGTTTTTGTCGTTATTAGAAAGGAAAGTAACATCATTGCTAAATTAAAACTGCTCAACGTCAAGCTGACAGTTCAATGACAGCTTGTTTCTTGAAGCCAAGTAATATCAGTATTTAAAAAAAAACATGCTCAAAACCACTAAAGCTAACTGATTTGCCAGAAAACAGGAATGCGTTCACTTTTTTCCTTGTTTGTTTCTCATTTGGCTTATGCGTTCAAGATGACAAAGAGAAGGAGACTGGAAATGCTCCAGTCCAGTCAGCATTTTCCTGTTGGGTTATCTGCACAATACCTGTTTATCACTCATTGCAATTTTTTACCAGCACAGTTATAAGAACAACCTAAAAGGCCAAGTTGAACACAATGAGGACAATGCTAAGGGTCTCCAAAGGCTGAAAAAGCCTCTGGCAATGCTGTCATAAGATGTAGTTCTTAATGCTGTCTACAGGAAGGTCAAGACATGAGTCAGAGGTGAATATTCATCAGCATGTTCAGTAAACTATAAATAGTTCTTGTAACTGAAGGGTAAAATATGTTAAGGTTAAAACTGTCAGTACGCCCTCTGCCTTAAAGGGAACACAGCAAGAGCATTGACAAAACTGAACTCTAGACAATTAAGTATAGACCACTTTGAGGGAAGGTGTCACTTTCCAGCAAGAGCTTAGTCTCTATGCAAGGACACGTCAATGACAGTTAATTGATAAGAACCGAACCGATTCAGTTACTGGTCAATCACATACTGTACATACACCAACCTAGAAAAGAAGAAACAGATACTGTATGTGGCTTCTTTAGTAATCAATTGAAGAGTAATCCTGCACATTCACGCTGCAGTTGTTCAACGACTAAATGAGCTGACCAATGTAAAGGGATGTAGTACTTAGCCGGCCGGCATTAACTCTCCAGGCTGAGGAAATGACAGCACTGGTCAAAGGTTACTTACAAGGAATGAGCCAGGGAGGCTGCTGCAAGGATGAATTTGGGTAGACATGGGGGTGTGAGAAAAGATGCTCGCAGATCTGTGGGCATTCGGGAAGTATTTTTATGTACGGAAGCAGAATTGAGGCATTCGAATTTGACCTCCTCCTAAATGTATGTGTTTTTTCCCCCAACAGAGCGTATCGCCTTCACCCTCATGGGCCTTCTTTTGATACACCGGGTCAGTGGATGCCCCAGAGAGTGTGCGTGCAATCCTAAAGCCAAGACGGTCGACTGCCGAGATAAAGGACTTTACGACATTCCACGGAATCTGCAGGTTGACACCCGGGAACTGTATTTGCAGAACAACCGGATTCGTGGCCTTAGTTCCATGGCTTTCAGAGAGACACCCTTGCTGAAGATTCTCGACCTGGCCAACAATTCCATCTCCAGTATGTCTGCGAGCACTTTTCAGGGGCTGCATGGACTGTTAGTTCTCAACCTTGCAAACAACTCCATCAGAGAAATTGACAAGAGACTGTTCAGCCCAATAAAAACCCTGTCTGAACTGAATTTATCATATAATCACATCAGCAGTTTGCCGGGGACCCTGGCCGACAGCGTCAACAACCTCACCTGGCTATCGGTCCGCCACAACCGACTGCAGAGACTCGACAGGACACTCCTGGTGTCCCTCACAAAACTGCAGGTCTTGTTTTTTCACAACAACCCCTGGAAATGTGACTGTCAAGTCATCGGGCTCAAGCTGTGGCTGGAGACCTTTATCTTCAAAGGTGTGACCTGCTTTTACACTTTTTTATACTGAGAAGTTGGCTTCATTTTTATTTTTTAACTCAAAGTAACATAAAATGTTCAGAGGTGTAACCTACTTCTTTAACAATTTAACACTGAAGTGGGGAATAATGTGTGGATAGGTTTTATCTTGTTTCATACTATGAAATGCATTTGCATTTCCAATCAAGGTATTTATCTTTTCATCTATTTTTAGATACCTACTGTGTATGAATTAAGAGCCGTCTACAACTTAAGAAGTAAGCTAAATCACAAGAGGAATGTCAAAGTTTACAGTAATTGCTACAGCTTTGGTTTCTTCATTGAGCTGCAGACCCCTGAGATAAAAATGAGCAAAACTCATGTGTTTTCCAAGAACTACCGGCCAGTGGTAGTGCACATCTCCATTAGTTCCCTCAATCCTTTATTTTTATCAGCTGTATCATGTTGATGGTTAGTTATAGCAGCTGTTCCAGATAATGCATTTGCTATTTGCAACAGCGCCTCTGTGATCAAAGGGAAACACTATTCTTTCCTTATGTGGATAAAACTAAAATAAGGCCTTGCATTAACTTAACTGAATTAAGTTGTACAGTATTTACCATCTGTTAAACCCATCTTATGCCAATCAAGTGGCGATTGGACATACTGACCTTAACCAGAATAAAAATGTCTTGGCTTTCTGCAATTGCAACCCAAAGTACTAGCATTGCAGTCAAAGGTTTGTAGAGTTTGTCCGCTAATAGAATACATTACAAATTAGCACCTGGGCAACTGAATTGAAACCCAAATCCAGAATTTGGATACAATTCAAGAAGTTCTATATGCATGATATTAACATACTGTATGCAACATGGAAAGTTCTTCATATACTGTACAAAAAAATTAACTGGGAAACTACATAAGCAAGTATACTCTCAAACTGGTAATTAAAGAAAAAGTCATCTTTTGCTAAAACATATGTCCTAGGGATGTAATTCTTTAACAATGGTTACTACTAGTTGTGTACTTCACAACATGGAGACTCCACCTCTTCAGGAACTCAAAATCTGGTTGTGGTTAGATGCAGGACATCCTTAGCAAACATGAAGTTGATTCTTTATGTACAGTAACTCTGTCGATACTGCCACTTAAATTCAACACACAATCTAACCTGAAATAAGTGATTATTAACAACACTGCCACTGCAAACTATTTAAAGGCAAACTGCAGGTCAACACATCTTCCTTCAGAGGTTTCAGAGTCATTACAGTAAGTAAGGCTTTTGATTTGACACACTACTGTAATTGAGCCCCAAAATCTTCCCTTATTTCTTCGAAGGCTTGAGCTTCCTACAAGAGCACCACTGGTGCAAGTCCTTCATTTCCATTTCTACTGCATATCATTCACAGGGGGAACAACCGATGACATCAAGTGCGCGCAGCCTGAGAACCTGAGAGAGAAAGACCTGAGGAAAATTCCCTATGAAATGTTCCAGACGTGCCCTTGGACAAACTACAACTACCTGTTTGCCAATATCCACCACCTGGAGTCCGACCACCAGATCCCCCGACTGCATTCCCCAAGCGACCGAGGGAGCGAGAGTCTTCCGGAGTGCGAGCCGAAACAGAAGCCCCGCCCTGTCAACCTCCGTCACGCGATCGCGACTGTCGTCATTACCGGGGTCGTGTGTGGGATCGTCTGCCTCATGATGCTGGCGGCAGCCATTTACGGATGTGCTTATGCTGCAATTATGGCCAAGTACCAGAGGGATCTCAAGAAAGTGGAACAAGTGGCTGAGGCACGAGAACCGGGACGCCCTGAAGAAAAGGAGCCTTTAGACGGCTCTCTTGCATAAGAGAGATCTTGATTTGCTTTTGTGTTTTTGCAATACATGACCCCATTAATATTGTGTCACAGATGTACTGTATAGTGGGCTCCACATGCTGGAACTCATAGCCGACTATACCACCTGGCAATTTTAAGGCACAAGGACCTTTCTCAACCCAACGGGTTCCTTGTGTCCCTCAGACCCACCAGTTCACCCACAGACTAGCAGAAGACATTGGAGAGATCCTGATTTGCTTTTGTGTGCTTTTGTTTTTGGAATACTTAAATAAGTAGCTCCATTAATATTGCGCTCAAATATACCAACATGTTATACTCAAGAGCGAATGGGAGACAAAGTGGGAAATATTTGAATATGCATAACAGGACATTTAAAACCTTCTTTCAAAAATATTAGCTTTACATTAGATGCGGCTAAAACCATCTAGTCTGTGTTACTCTACTTGATGAATCTGGACACATATGCTTCAGTATGCCCATAAAGATCATCATTATAGCCTTTTGAGTTTCTTGACTTTTAAATGAGTGGCGTTAAAGAATATATAATAAAAAAATTAAATAGTTTTGGAATCTAAAATGTAGGAGCCAAAAAAAAACTTGGATGCACTCTGGTTCAAAAGCAATACAGTATGTTGCTGTTCTAAATAAAGACTGGAGATTATAGTGAGTGAGTTTGTAGTAATAACTAATTTATCTGTGATTTAATTCAAAGCTTCATTCAAGAAGGCAAAGGTCAGATTCTCAATGGACTGTAGTTGCCTTAAATAAGCCGAATTATAAATACCCTTTTTCTCTTAAAAAATGGAACATTGAGATTTTTTTCCAAACACCCATGAAAACGCATGAATACCTAATGTACAGCTTCAACGATAATTGCTTTTCTTAATGTGTGATTTCTGGAAAATCAGAGCTAAACAGGGATAAAACCGGTTTCAGGTATAGGAGGATAATATTATACACCACAGTACTTTAAATTGTTTAATGTAGCATACAAATTGCTAACCTGAATTACATTAGGGCATAAAAGAAATAATGTTCCTATTTCTAATTTCATATTTTTCCTTCACATACTATATACGTCTTACATTCTCACAGCTAAAAATTTAAAATTAAGTTAATATTTAATTGAGAAGAATGCCTGATAATTTTGCTGCCATGTGTAAATAGCGCAATTTCAGTAAATACTGACACAAAAGACAGACAAAAATATAATAACTCTGTATGACAGATGCAAACCTAATAAATAGGACAAATGACAGGTAAAAGAGACCATTAAACCATCTCAATTTATTTAATTAAAATGCCCTGAAAATAAATTTCAGTCAAACTTTCAACATACTGTATACGTTCATAAGGATTGAATATCCAAAATTTGGTCTTGAATGATACTACAGTGCATAAAACATAGTGACACAATTTTATGTGGTATGATGTCGCAAATGTTAAAAAAGAATTAAGATTAAACAGCAATGCAATACAACTATCCTCAGGCAATAATTTGTCTATCCTAGCTCATGCAAAATTACCTTTGATAAATTTCCTAAAATACAAAAATTGTAAAGCAATAAATAACAATCAATGAAAAACTTCCTGTTCATTACTGTAGGCAGCAGAATTTGTTGTTTGTCACTGTTGTATACATATTTATACTGTACTGTAAGTAGCTGTAACCCCTCAGAAACAATTAATCTTTCCCCCTCTAACATTCATGGTACAGTACCTTTTGTAACTTACAGTTACTGTTAGATGTGTGAGTTATTCAAGTTTCAGAGATACTGTTCATTTTTACTAATGTTTGAAAGATATTATCATATCTAAATATGTTGTTTGTGTATAATGAGTGCAATAGATTGAATACTAAACAAATAAAGATATATTTTCACTTGTGTAGAACACAGAAAATGATCTTGATTTCTATGGTAAACACATGAAAATGAAACTGAACTACAGTATATCTCAATGCAGTCATTTTCTTCACACGTCAGTGTGAGTACAGTATGTGTAACATTTCAGTTATTTGTATTCTTTTATGAAGTTAATGTAACACCCAAAAAACAAAAAATGTTGTAGTATGGAAACAAACCATAACAGACCACAACTAATCTTTACTCTAACTCTACTTACTGTACAGTAGTTATAATAAATGTCATCCAATGTGATACACGGTAAGGATAACCAGAACATTATTTTAGTTGAACATTATGTAATAGTTATTCTATACTAGAAGCAACTACACCATTTTATTGCAGTTTATAAAAAATATCTTTGCAATTAATCTAAAAATCTTGGATTTGCAGGCCAAGATCACTGTCTCTATTCAGAGCTTAGACTTCTAGAGTAAACATCAAATAAAACCTACACAGATGTGTTCTTACTTTATATTTTTCTAATTAATATGGTACTTAATTTTAAGACAGCACAAAACCTCATGGTTCACAGCAAATATTTGTTCAAATCAAAGGTTTTCTTCCATGTTTTGTTCAATCCCAGCTTCTTTGAAACAAATCTTTTTCAGTATTTCTTATATTACTCAGAGATTTATGCATGTTTCTCTTCTGCCAGCACAACAATCCTGCCTTCTGGCTGCTTCCTCCTAGTATTTTTCATGTCAATGAATTCAGCCATTACAGATTAATTTGCTCGCTCTGCATGTCTCTCTGCCTCAATCTACATCTCACTTTAAATTCCCGTGCATATTTATATAGACTTCATAGGATCTTGAATGCTAATGTTTAGTGAAAAAAGCCAACAAATATTTCATATCAAAGATTAATAAATATATAAACATAGTAAAAGAACTGTGTGGGGATTGAACTAACAATACGCAATTTAAATTGTTGTAATTACAAAATATGTTTTACTGAATATTTTGTGAATTATGAATCAATCTAAGAGGAATTAACTGTTTTCCCCTATAATGTTTGTGTTGCTTAAAATAATTGTATTCATCTTAAAAAAAATGAAATAAAAAAGCACAAATCTTCTGCAGTCCCCATTACTGTAGAAGGCGTCCATTGGTGACTGAGAATTTCATGTTAAGAAGAATCAAAACGGATAGAGATATTATTAATTGTGTTGTCTGAAGAACCCCTTTTTTTGCACTGCTAAAGGAGGCACCCAATATCCTACCCCGGGGTTCACTGTTTATGCTTCAACAAAGTCAACATGATTCAAGGTCAGTGAAGCAAACACTCTCAGAGCTCTTGCCCCTGTTACATAAGCTAATTTAAACCTAGCTTGTAACACTGTTGTAAACATGTGACACACTTTAGCACATTTTCCATTAAACTGACGCTAAGAGGAACAAAATAAAAACATGATTATGAAAACAGAATAGGAAACAGTACAGATAGTTTTCGAATTTGACATTTATTACTACATATAAATATAATGCAGCTATCACCTTTCACAAACTGAATTCTATTTTTACTGCCTTGGCCTGAAAGAATGCAAAGATTGCTTGGATGCCCTTCTGTTCAGGCTGAATCAAGGGACTGAATGTGTTATATGAGCCCCTTTGCTTTGTGGCTTAAAGCTCAGAGAATCCTTTAGTCATACAGCATATGATTCAGAGTGACATGAATGCAATACTGATGTAAAAAATATCAACTTTTGTTTGCATCACATGACATGCTGTCAGCTCTGGAATAAAACAGCCATCTATAAATAAGTAACTGTAACAGAGGAAATAATACTGATACAATTTGTATGATGTTTATAAGGAGGACTGCACATACAGAAAGAAATTAGGTTTTACCTAGACCTTTCTGATGACATTGCAAGCAAAAATACATGAGACATCTTAGCTTTCACTCATGTGGACATTGGCCAATGGCATTGGACACTCGCAGTGCCTACTGTAATTCAATAGCCCTGTAGGGCTACACAGGGGCTTGGCTGGGAGTACTCAGGACAAGATTAGCAGCATTGCTACCTTGTGTCAAGACATTGTCAGAAGGTAAACAGCATCAGTACGGAGTGGGAGATCAGGGAAACAAGGTTGCAGTAGTTGTTAGTGGACCAGTGGGAGGCGATCTTTCTCCTGGACCAAAATGTCTAACCAAATCCGCAGTATGGTGACAGACCGCACTGCTGTGGGAGGTGATGTCACATGTACAGTATAATGCGGAGCTAAGCCAAGGTCCAGAGTATTTGGCCATTGCAGTCCCCATAGCACTGTTTGAAAGAGCAGACATACAGTAGTAACCCCACAGCCCTGGGTACAATTCCACTTCAGGCCTGCATGATCTGGCCTCCTTGAACTTCCCCGTGAATTTACCATCTTGAAGTTATTTCAAATTTCTCTGCTTGTGGCTGCTGTGTGTCACCCAGGTGTGGGTTGGGCTGAATCAGTGCATGAAGCGGGTCTTCTACTGTATGTAAAGCACTTTGGGAACCTTTGGGATGTAAAGCACTTGTAATAGTACAAGTCAATATTATCTCTTACAATTATAAATCTTCCCTTTGGTTATAAAATCCAGAGAAGAAATAAACACAGAGGGCATGAGGTTGACAGAATTCAGGTATCCTCTTTCTGTATCTGCTTAATGCTTTACAAAGTGAGGGCAAAAAAAACAAATTTGAACAACATTTACTGTATATAGCTTATCTGGGGTAAGCTGGGGTGAAATTGTCTAGGTCAGATAGAACTTGCTGAAAATTACACAAGCAACAACTTAATTAAACAGAACTGCCAAGACCAAAATCATTCCACATCTACTCCAATATTTTTGTGAAGTAAAATTTAATAGTCTTTGGTTAAGCTCCACTGAGGATTCCTTTCCCTCCAAAGTAAGCATTTATTGTGTTACAAGCTGCCAGAAACAAATGCCGTGGAAAATGTGAAAAGGATGTGTCCACATGCAATGAAAACACATAAGTATTCAAGGTTTCCTGATGTGCTTTAATATTAAAACATGCAACATGATTCTTTGCAACGTTTGCAACCAGAAAGAAGCCTACGATTCAACATTCCTGTCTCAAATGGTTTAAGACAGAAATAAGAAAAAAGTTTAATAAAAGGACTACCACAAGATGTACTGTATGTGATGGTGTGTCGAAACAGTTCAGCAAATAAATGACCCATTCATCGCTGATTAGGCAAGAGTGTCTTTTCTAAGAGCTTCTAGTGTCTTAGGAAACGTGTTCTTAGCATACAAGAGATTCTCAGTAAAGCAATTTTTTCCTTGAACACTCCTAATCACAAAGGTAACATATACCTTAAGCTGGACAGAGTTATAGCACAAAACACTTACCAGCAGCCATGGGAGACTTCCTGTCATCCAACAGCTGAATGGCTGTGCTAGCTAACACCACACTTTTGTTCTCAGTCCCTGCAAATGCGGAAAAAAAGCCAATTATACAAACGTGGATGTCTACAAACATGTACATTATTCACACCACATTGCGAGTGGGAACTTAAAATTTGAGAGGAGATGGAACATCCGGTAGTAAGTCAGATATTTACAGCATCTTGGATAAGAAAATATCTAAGTGCTCTCCCAACAAAAAAAAAATAAACAGTAGTTGGGAAAAGAAAACGTATTTCGAGAAGATAAGTTGTGTCTTCTCTTAAAGATTGTAGCAGACTCTGAAACCTTTATTGCTCTTGCTTTTAAACATTTTGGTGCATACTGTAGCAGGTGAATGCCCTGTCACAACCTAAACTAAGCCTTGCTGTAGGACTGCTTAAGGGAACACTCCATGGGCCCTAGATTACTGGATGGAGTGTTTTGCTCATAAGGTCTTTAAGAAAACAAAACGGCCTTGTAAGTCAGTAGGAAAAGTTTTAAAAATCATTCCTAATTCAAGGCTGACTCTTGGTCAAGATGCTAATACTGCACCTGTCAAGAACCCCAGCAAGCGAAGGCATTAAGATTGATGATGTAACTCAGACGTAAAGTATAAACCAACTTCTGCATCAAGCTGGGGCTTAATCAGAAGAAAATCTAACATACTTTTCCCTTTTTTGAGCAGTGACTATTATATTTTCATAATCGTAGCTTGTCATTATAGCACAAATCGTGTTTGTGTCCATTCTGAAATCTTTTGTCATTAATTAAGTTAATTGGCATCTAGCAAGAACATTTTGAAGAATGTGGATATAATATTACAGGTCATGTCATAGTCAGGCCCTGTAAGAACCCCCGAGTACATGCTGTGTCTAGTGTCAAACCTCGTCTAATATGGTACTATCCAGTATCAGTTTAAGTGAAAGTTACTTATTCGGTAGATCTCACTCATTTCCCGCAAACAATTATGGAACGAAAATGACTTATTTTGCAATAACAATTTACATATTTTTGGTTTTGAAAATCCCCTTCTAGACATTTGGCGGCAACATGTGGCAAATTCCGATGAAATATGTGAACCAGCAACCTTCACAATAAACCAGCTCAAAGATCGTTCCATCTAACATCAGAAACACATTATTGCGCATTTTAAACGCCTTTTTTTCCCCAAATAAAAAGTACTGTAAACACCAAAAACTTTTCTAAACACGGATTTCTCTATTCCACCGTTAGGTGGCACCATTTTCTTAAAGCTATCAAAAGCCCTCACATTTTGAACACCGGCGTAGGATTCATTTAGTGGAAAAAGAGCATAGACTTCGGTCCTACTTGATAACACAAGGACACAAAAATAGTGAATTACAAATAGGGATAGTTCATCAGTCCCTGATTTACAAAAGTCTTAGTCTTGGGCAGTCATTGCCGAAATGGGAAGTTGCGTCACTAAATAAATAAGTTTAAAGAATAAGACCACGTTTCGTCTGTTGATTGTGCTTCAGGTGTGTTTTTTCCCCCACTTTACAGGTTGGAATTAAAATCTACTCGTTTTATCTTTTAACAAGAGGTAGACCAAAGAGCATATATTTAGTAATCACTGAACACGTTTTAAAAATCACCATATTGCTACAGGTACGTGTACAGTATTTTACGTTGGTGTCCAAATCATTAAGCACGGATAACGCATCTCGACACAAGTAAAGATGAGACGTTTACGAAGCTTAAAAAATAGTAGTAAAGCAAATCTCAACTTTGATCTGGAAGAACCAAGGGCGTAAGCGACAGTGGTTCTCTCATCATTTTCCAATTAAATGTAAGTGTTTGACGTGTACAAATTTCAATGAATTGTATTCATAAAAATATAATTTGGGTTTTTATCTCGTCCTGTTACTGTTGTATGCATCTTCTGTTTATTAATTGCCTCAAGTATTTTATGTCGTTAAGTACCTTGAAATGTTATACTTTAAAGGCAGCAGATAAACATGATTAAGATAGAATATTAATATGAAATCTATTCTGTCTTATCTCCAAGGGGGAATTCAATATGTAACCTATGAGAACTCCATTGTGTTTAAAATTCCTTTGCTGCTATAAATTGGCTATAATTGTGTAGGATGTAACCATAGTTAATCCCATAAAGGTTATTATCTTGGGTTTATAGAAACTTAGTTCCAAGGCTTTCTGTACGAGCAGAGCACAACCCTTTTCTGGTCATTTCATAGTAAGAGAAACAGCTGGAACATGATTTTGGTGATGCTCAGGCATCTGTGCTTGTTTAATGATATATGGAGAAAAAAACTGCCACTCAGACACTAGTACCCTTAGTCGTATTGAAATGACGTCTTTCCATTTAAAAGCCTCTTGGTGTGTCTGTATGGTAAACTACTCTTCTTCAGGGCACATCTCATGCATATTGTATACTGTATATTTACATATCGTAAAAACACAAAGCCCATATTTCATCTCAGTACTGAAAGCATTTTGGAATCTTACACGATGGTGTAAGGTTGAATTAATCTCCTGTTTTAACTGTTCTTGCTGTTCATACCACTCTACATTACAATGTATTTTTGCAGTTTTTTGTCATGTTTCTTTTATATGTCTTGTATATAATCCCTTGGAAAAAAGGCATTGAATGACTCAAACAACCAATCAAATTAGAATGTCAGTCTATGATAATTGTTATAAAAAAGACTTGAAACCATGTGAAATTGGCACTAGCTACAGTATGTTCCTGCATTGTTATTAGGCGTATTTAATGCTAGAATATAGCATACAAACTCTTTAAAACTCTGTTTTTCTTTCGCTTTTGCAGATTGCAAAGGTGTTCATGCACAGGTTCCGTGTTCCAGATGAATAAAGGGACACTGGACACTATTCCAGTGCATGAATTCCCATGTGAAGAATACTAAACAGGAACACAGGCAAAAAGGTCAGCTGAGCACACAAAGACAGTGATCCCAATCTTAATTCAAATTTCCTTTTTCTTTCTACTCTGGACGACTGCAGCACATTAATTATCAGACCAGACGAAGACTGATAAAACTGTGCTTATTAAGGATCTTCAGAGCCTTAAGAGACAGTTTAAAAGACACCGTACAGAAGAATTGTTGAAGGGTAAAGGGTAGGGGTTACTGCACGCCTACCCTGAACACTGACCTCATCTAATTTTTTAAACACTGAAACTTTAGTCTTTCCTATCTGACAGTTGTTCCTTCATTTTATAAAAATAAACCAGCCCCAGCCTAAATTTCAGCCCCTGTACGATTCTTGTAAATAATTATTACATGATAAGCAGAACTCTTTAGACCCTCGACCATGAATTCAGAGGGTAAAATCGGGTGGCAGAATTTTAGAGACCAATTGGAGAGACGGTGTCATAAGATGGGTTTAATTCATCACCGAGCTTGAAAAAAGATTAATATTTGAAACGATTTAAAAAGGGACAAAAAGTTTAACACGTGTGCACCTTTAAAATGTTTTTTTTTTCCCCCCGAATGCACTGTTTGACCGTTAACATATGCTGGCTTTGAACCTGAATATGAAATGACAAGATAAGGTCATTACCTGCACTGAATGGGAGAGAGTAAACAAAGGTCCCAGGGACCTGCTCAGCGGCTCTCTTGTACCACAGTGGGAAGTGATCTGCATTAAACACACCTTCCTTGTCTTCGGCTGTCAGGAAGTCTCTTGAAAACAGACAAAAAAATGGAGGTGATGAAAAGGGAAAGCTGATTTCTAGATGCAGTAAAACGCAGATGGGGCGAGGTCACGTGTTCATCTAGTATGTCACATTCTGAACGCTGTTCTGTTGTAGGCTGAGATTTACTTTCTATTTTTCTCTCAGGAATGCTTGATAACATTTTCCTTCTTTTTTTCAGGAAAGACAGTTCAGAATTAATGAGAATGTCAGAAACTAAATGAGGGGTATTAAGGAGGCACCTAACTATCTAATGAACTAGAAGGGCCGACTGGCCTCCTCTTTTTGTCACCTTTCTTATGTCCTTAGCAGGCAGATTCATTTATGTGGGGCACTGTCTATAATATCTTGGAACAATATTCTTTCACTGTTTCTGCCAGAGATCAAGCCAAACTAACGCAAGGCCATTAAAAATGTCCAGAGACAATTCAGCAATGGTTAAGGTATAAGGGGGGACATCCTGTATCTGAAATCCAGCAGGCAAGAGCTGAAGTAAAAATCTTATCTGTGAGCCACTCTAGTGCAAATGTTTGTATAACAGAACTGTAACCCGCAACACATCTGAAACTCCTTAAACATAATTATTCTATAAAGCTGTTAATGCGGGATCATAAGATACTATAATAAATAAGTTGCATGATTGGATTTTATACTTACTTATTTGTAAGTTGTTCTGGGACCACAAACAGGTTTATTCTTGACAGACCAGTACGTGTTCCCAGGTATGCGATCTCCACACCTTTGTCTGAATTTCTTAAAAGAAGGTAGATACAGGTGCTTTTACACTGAATTTGTGTTTGCATGCATTCAGTAAATACAATTTCAGTAATTAGAATGGTCACACAAAAAGGAATCACTTTATGTTCAATATACAGTAGCTTACATTTGTTCATGTTTTCCCCAAACACAACTCTGTGTTCACATGCTTCCACAAGTGCAATTTTAACTACACTTCTACCCTGTGTTGTAACACAGCACAAAAAATGACATGAACCATTTTCCCTTATTACTTAGAAACTGCGTTCATATTTTATTCCTGAAACATCGCCGTATTCAATTTATGTATGATATGAGCCAAGAGTCCATCATGTCCTCAAGCAAATGTATTCAATCTGTACAGGCAGGATACATTTCAACAGACATCCACTTTCAGACACACGTTTTACACATTTTCTTCAAAACCATTAACTCATGGCTGAGAATGGTTCATTTATGCGGACTAAAAGCTTACTCTGATTTGTTTAACGCAAGACTTGTCCAATATGCTTCTAAGGGCGCTGTCACCACAGCATCAAAAAGCACTTCCTGGATTAGTTCCTTGTCACCTAAGAGAACAATATTAAAACTTTGAAATTGTTTTGCAAAGGATTTGGCATATTACAATAGAGCACAATACAAGCATATAACTACTGTACTGTACATTAGTGATTGGCTGACTTGGTGCTTTTTATAATATGTATGATTTACTATGAAAGCTTGAAGATTTACTGGAAAACTTCAAAAAGATGGATAATAATAAATAATGAAGTTCAGTACAGCCGAGCTCGGTTACTATACTATCGAATACTGGATACTACAGTTAATAATGTGATTTTAATAAACACACAGATACATACAGTATGCTGGAGACAAGCCCTAAACAAAGGACTATAAAACTAAGGCAAGTGTTAATTTTCAAATACAACCCATGATATAGTATAAATATTGTTTTAACGAACATTCGTGTTCCATCTGATGTACACATGTAAAGGGCCTTTTCTGGCAACGGATTTCCCAAACAAGTTAACAAGAAAAATGAAGCGATGAGTAGATAATCAGAGAATATACTGTACTACTTACACTGCAGTAAGGGCTCACGTCCAGTGAGGTAGAGTTTAATGGCTTCTATCTGGGTCAGATAGCGATGTTCAGGGTGGAGGTCAGTGTTGCAGTAAGTCCTGGTTTTAATTAAAAAATAAGAGTAAACCTTGCCATTAATATGTTAACACAGCCACTCGAGGAGAAATGTTATACAGCAAATAAACCATTTAAGGTTTCACTGGCTAGTGCCACAAAAACCACAACTATACTGAATTAAAAGCAAACCAGTACAGCATACATTATGCTGTTTTTACCATTCATCAGCCAGGGCCACATCTGGGTGTTCCAGGTCATGTAACCCTAAAATAGGAATTCACATTAACATTAGAGTAAAGAGTCTGTAAACGGCTCGTCAGAAAGCAATACCATGTGTGTCTCTGTAGCAGGAGCATGCTGTCATCACAGAAGTCAATTGCCTCGCTTTTGAAAATATCTTCTGCGTCATGTCAATGGATTATAAAGCATTACTTTATACTCTGTGTAATAGATTGGAAGAAAGATTGGAATGTTTAGCTCCACAATTTAAAAAAATGACATGCATAGATCTACATTATTTGTTAAATTGATATACAGCCAGTTGTCTGACTTTGTCTAGCTCTCCTGTAAAAAGATCTAATAGTATTAGCAGAAATTACTGTTTGCTTGTAGAAGAGTTCTGCCTTTTAACCACATACTCTATCAAACTGTGTAATACTATATAATGTAAGGGACACAAGATGTAAAAACACAGGTATCTCATGAACATTCATTAAGCAAGCTGAACATGCAAAAAAAAAATCAGTATGGCCTTTTCTTATGTTTAATGTCAGTTTGGACACAGACCACACATTAAAGATAATTAGAAGTAATTCATTACTTCAACAAAGGTACCATTCATGTTGAACAATGCATGGAACGATTTGGAATAAGTTCGAATAAAATATGGTTTTGTGCTTGACTTGCATGAAACTTCATAATCCATTCTTTTCCTAGTGCTTTTTTGTGCTGTGAAAAATTGATTTTCTTATAGTTTTTGACATACTTTACAATCATCAAAACTGCCAAGACATGCACACATAATTACAAACCAGATGCCAAGTGCTGGTTTTGTGAGGATGAATATTTAAACCCATGTTCCATGAGAAAGGAGTACTGAACTAGCAAATACTTGACTTCCTTTTTAAATTGTAGTTTATTCTCAGATTGAAATATACTCTACACAAAAGACATAAGAAAATAGGAATACATGCTCATAAATGAGTGAGTAGAATCAATAACTTATTGAGTTCTTTATTTTAAATGATGCCCTGGTTCATATTCTGATTTCTTTTACCACTTTAAAAGTGGAAACAAAAAAACAGACTGAAAATAATAGAACTGAAAATGGTAAAAAACAGAAACACAAGGAACTTATTACCTTCTTCAACAGAAACATTTCCTCTGAAAAAGTACTTTCCATGTCCTCTCGACAAAGCCACTCCTAGACTGTGCATTAAAACAAATTGAACTGATTAGCTCACATATTTGTTTCCGGTGTGTCCATAAATATTTCATTGATTAACAGACAGTGATTGTCTACAAGAAGTGCAAGTTAAAATACTCTTATCACTATAAATGACATATGCAACTAAAATAGCCTCAACTTTATACAGTAGTACATTCCTATACAATACAGTACAGAACAAAATATGTTTGTTAAATGGCATGAGGATGCTTAAAACGGGAAATATTAGCTTGACTATGAATGATTAGTTGTTTTTAAAATAAATTCAAATTATTTTTCTTCTTTAATGACACAAATAATGATTATACAGTATTGTTGCTTGTGTAATATATTGCATGGTGAGCATGGCTTATGTTTCTCCCTGTGCCAGTATCATTTACAGTATAGCATGTGTAATTCACTGTATAAATAGCTGTATATAAGAGCAGTGTTTACTCATGGTTGAAAAAGGTTAGCTTTTTTTTTTCCGACTGGACAAGACACAAGGAGAGATGAAAAAAGAATGTGATTTCAGTTTTTGTACTAAAGAGATCAAGCACATCTTTAGTCTGCTATTATTCTACTGGCTCATGTGATTTATTTGTAGTTTAACCATGAAACAACTCTGTAATAATGAATATAGTCCTACCTGAAGGGAGTGCCCTTGATATCTGTGTAGTAGTAGTCATTTGTCATTACAAGGACCCGTTTCTACAGGAGACAAAAGAATCATTGGTTTCATTTTTAATTAGCTTGTGTCACTGTGTTAACTGTATGATCAGCTAATTCAGCAGCACATTACATTGAGACTTGTACAGTTTTTAATGAACTGAAAGACTTATGAAAAAGTACATATCAGTAAAGACATCACATGCACTACAGAGAAACAGAGGTTCTTCATTCCATGAAACAATAATAAAATGTAAAAATGAAGGTTTAAAGCAAATATATCAAAATTAATTATAGTTGTTTTAGTTCTGCAGAAGGGAGATCATTTGAGTATTGAAGCTGTATGTTTTGTAAGACTTCAAGTGCAGAACGCCTGGAGTATGGAAAGGAAACAAAATGAGGACTATGTTTCTAAAATAATCTAGAAAGATTTGTATAGTCTTCACTTTATTTCCTTTATCATCAGGTTCACCATCTTCAGCGCAGAATCAATTTCCTTAGTGAAAGTGGTGACCAGAGCCCCATGACGTTCTGCAATTCTTTTAAAGATTATGTAGCATATAAACCACTTTTAAAATCTCAACACCCTACTGACAAAAGAAAAAAAGACCATTCAACTTGAAGAGCTATGTTTACTGCAAAATGCACCAAAGGAAAAAAACAGGATTTGAACAATGTTTGGATTAATAAAAATAGCCTCAGGCTGGAGAATTTCTGAAAATCATATCTGGAAAAATGCAATACAAAACACATTTTGAAATTAGGTTTCATTTAAAGCCCAAATATTTTTGGTAGGTGGCAAAGGAACCACACAAAAACGTTTATTTTTAGATACAAGTTAGCAATATTATTCTTGGAAATAACAAGCTGTTATTTTATTAGATAATTTTTGTGCTTCTTAGTAATGTATCAACAAGAAGAGAGGAATACCAAAGGGTTTTATTCCAACTTATCTGCAGGCTGTGAATGGCCATACAGTTAAAAAAACTCTCTGCATTCTTTTCTATATTTAAAAATACTGTACGCATTCAAAAATATTTGTAACAATGTCATTTAAAATGGCTCCATCTAGTGGCCAATAACATAATTACAGGGGTAAAACTGCTCCATATTCTACAGTTGCAAACGAGGCAGTGTAAACAGAAAGGCACATAAAGGCATGCACACACGAAATATTGAAAGTTGAAATACCTTATTCACGTAATTTCTGTATATAGACACATATTATTTAAATTTACTAAGGAAGCGTTTGACATTTTTAACTCTACAAATCTTAAATTCCACACCTTCTGATCATTTTCCACAGTGTATGATGTTACTAAATTCATAAACCAGACACCTTACTGCACCTATCCCACTAAATTAACATTTTTAGGGACAGAATTTTCCATTGTGTATCATGCGTACCTGGTAATGGTGTGGCTCACTGCTTTTCCTTTGTCAATGAGTAAAATTACAGATTAACCTATATTTTAAGGCTATTACACTGCTGGCGTTGATATTTATAGCAGGTGAAGAGGCACTGGTGGAGTCTCTCGATAAATCTGTTGTATCTGCTCATTGCTTAGTTGTAATGATGCAAATTATCTTCCACAAGTGTTGCCCCTGTCTTCAAAATCCAAGCTTTTTTTCCCCCCGTTATTAATGATGCTGGCTCACTGTCCAGCCCTTCCTGACAGCTTGCCCATTAAAAAGAGCTTGGCTGCGGTTTTCCACACATATCCCACCATGTGTTACAGCGAGATAAGGACAGTCACCATCTCCCCTTCAAGCTCCTTTCAGAGCAATGCTGTAAGAGCTGCCGGGGTCTGGATTGATTCGCATTTATTTTCACTTGAATTGGGCTGTGCAACACCTCAAAATATTTCTAATGATTCCTAAATCTGGACAATGTTAAATGCAAATTAACAGATGAAAAATGAATGAAAGCTGAGATTCAGTAATACTGGGTGTGTCGGATCTTGTATTCTGTTTTTTTTTATGTACTGAAACTTTGTTACTTCCAAATATTCACTTTTTTCCTTGGAGATGTATTTTGGTATTGTACTCCGTCCCCCTGATTTGTGTCAGTTTCTTGCAAAATGCCCTAGTCCACTTGCAAACATGAACCGACATGAACAGTAGTGCCTACCCCTTTGTCCACGGTCTTTTTAACTTCCATGGAGAACTTGCCAGTCTTCCTGTTGACCATGGCATTGCGCAGCTAGGAAAGAAGAGAATTTAAATTCAACAAGCAGCTGCAGAACTGCGAAGAATTGACAATGCTTTTAGATGTGGAAATTTGTATCATGTTTTGTTATGATAGGAGACACAAAAATGGTGGCAACCTGGAAGCAATTTTAACTCTATAACTCTTAACTCTTAACAGTTCCTTAAAGTCAACAATTTCACAAAAATTGCTAGTGAAAAATTCAGCCGGCAACCCCATGTTTAAAGAAAGAAGCAACTCACAACATCATCTTTATCTTCCCACTCCACTTCCGATAGATCAACACTGCTGTAGTTGGGCTTCCTTCGCTTTTTTCCTTCTTCATACTGTAATTAGACAAAATGCACACACAGCACATGATTTCTATTAAGAAAAAATAGATTAATGAGGATGGCAGCATATTGGCGCAGAAGGTAATTCTGTTAATTTACAGCCCTGGGGTCATGATCTAGTGCTGGAATGGGATTTCTCTGTGTAGTCTGATTTCCTCCTACAATCCAAAGAGATGCTACCCAGGTGAATTGCCCCTTGAGTGTGAGACTGTGCAATGGACTGGGATTCCCACTTTACACCCTGCAACTACTGGGTTAGGCTCTTTTCTAATGGACATTAAAGAAGAACTGTGTACAGCAAACAAACTTTTAATGAATGGTGATGAATGCTAGTACTACACGTACTGTAGGTCCCTAGAAGATCCAGAGAAGATCTGATTTAAAATAACTACTATATAAGCTCTCCTTGAAGGCATTGGAAAGCTCACAGAGTATCAATTCTTAATTGAAGGGTGAGAGTGTCAGATGAACATGTACTTATTTTTCCAGTGTGGTGGAGGAGTTGTAAGAATAAGCCAAGGAAGTGTAGTTCACAATTGTGTTTCAAGTTTATGTTTAGATGTGTTTTGTATACGTGTAAATGTTTGTGTTTGTATACATATGGATTTATAAAACATTTCCTTTAATGCTGCTAAGACAGTACTGTACACCTTTTGTGCTAAAGCAGCAAGATTCCTGTTGAATATTAATATTAATTTGGTGCATCTACTGAGAGCTCTTCTTAATGAATCTGCTTTGTGGTTTGCAGCTGTTTTTCACAGCAATTTGACATTTTTCTATTAAAAATACATTAAAGCTGCATCAGTCACTTTTCCATGTCGGTAATGAAGCCAGGGCTCATCTCACTTGTTCAATACTGTGTACTGCTCTTATCCATTCAAATCAGACTAATCCTTGAAAAAAAAAAAGCTTCTTTGGAAAAGGCTATATGGAGAAACGCCCCTCCCCCAAATACACACACATCACCCGTCACCACCACTTTGCCCTGATCTCTCTGCATACTATAACGCCTTCCTTTTGGCCGGGCTAAGGCAATCAATATCCCTCAGCTGTATTAACTAGGACAGTGCTTGATCACACCTGCACGTCTCACCACAGTGGATCTGCTTTCTTGGAAGAGAACTGTCAGGGAGATTTGTCATTCACAGTTCGAGCATCCAGGGGGCTGCCCAGGCATCACGTTGAACCATTTGAGCTCATTTTGCCTCTGCTGGTGTAGTAACATTGCAGAGGCTGGGTTCCTATTCTCAGCTGCATCTCGTACTCACTGCTCAGTAACAGAGGAATTAAACCAGAACCATAAACAGCTCAGGCATTGCACAGCATTGCCCAGATGAATCCCATGCACTTAAATCACATTGGGTACTTGCTTCCCAAACAGCGCTGTGTCACTTACTTAATCTGTCATTAACCTAAATATAGAAGCAAACCCTGGCAATGAAAAATCAGCAAAATAATGGGTTTATTTCCTTACATTTTATTACCATAGAAACACGCAGAGCTCTATTCATGAAAGGAAATGACCACACTATGGTCATTTGCACAATTTTGCGATAATAACAAAAATATTATGCTTTTACTGACTAGAAAAACATAACAAATATGAAAGCAGTATCTTTTTATTTATCCCTCTGAGGATAGAAGCTCTGCAATGATGCCAACATCATTTTACAGAATTATGTATTTTGCAAAGGGTATTTTTCAACATTTGATGCATTCAGTCTAAAGTCTACACTGTACAGTTTATCCATAGTTTTCTAGAAAGCTGATTTTCATCTTTTTGTATTAGCTGTCAGTGGTGTAAAATCTTGCTGTAGTGGGGGACTGTCACATGAGTGCTGAGCACATACATTAGTCTGCACAGGAGAACTGAGCCACTGCAGCTTTTTCTCCCACAATGTAATGATTATCCCACTTGGCCGCACATCTTTAAGCAACAGGAAACACCCCAGAGGTATTAAAATACATCTAAATCTACATTCATTCAGCTCTGACATCTGCAGGCATCAATCAATAGGCACAATAACTCAAGACTCTGATGGTAGACACAAAAGCATTACGTATCGACCAGGATCGGGTGAAAGGAGGCTCATGTGTAAGAGACGGGATCTTTATAAACTACTGAAGCATGACCACTTTGTTCTAAGACACGTGTGTCTGACAGGTTTCACATGGCTAGCCCAATACCGTATTGCAGAATTTTTAAAACCGTTTCGCTGAATATTTGGTTAAATAGAGTAAGTTAGGCCCCTTTAGTACAGAAAAGGCAAGACCCCTCCAGCTGTTCTATAAAGAGAAACTTCCCTGCAGTTTGAGGTTAAGAACATGCCAATTGGTACTTCAGATGGAGGAAAGAAGTTTCAAGAGTGGATGACAGGGCTTTAAAAAAGTTCCAAAAAAAGCTGTAGCTCTATACCACGTACATTTCTTTTTTTGAGTAGATAATCATTAAGGGATTAACAAACATGTGAATAGGGCTAATAAATATTGTTGCCTGAACTTAGAATAATGAAACACATCTGTCCTTATCATACTGGTGCCAAGCATTAACCCACAAGTATGTATTTCAGCAACATAAATACATTTGGGTGCATATAAAAGCTTGTGATACAACTAACACATCTTCAAATGATTCATTTGAATGTAAAACTAGTAAGCTTAACTACTCCCAAACCTTTAATTATCTTTTAAATATATCTAATTTAGGATCCCTAATTAGATAGCAATTTAATGCTCCTGCTTATAAGGATTCAGTTTCTCTTTCTCCTTTAGAAACGGAAACTACAATGGGTTTAATCATTGCCATTCAAAAGACTGAATTTCACATTTATTCAAATGAACTCACAAGGTTCAAAATGTTTGGTTCATTTCAATATTCCATCCTGGAAAAAAAAACAGCTGTACAGAAGCTGTGAATAGCAGAAGGGTAACTATAGGTTATCTTAAATTTCCACTAAAGTCCCTTGAGAGAGATGAGCCACTGTGCTTATCGAAGCCTAACTCTGCATAAGTGGCACATTAGCATCCCCTCAGAGAATGGGTTCACTCTGCGAATGCACTAGTGCAAAATACTTTACTCTAGTCTTAACAACTACAACTACTGTAGTAAGAACTATACAGTATGCAGTCAGGACGTTTTTCCTTAAATACCTCAGAAAACAATATCCCAGGCGTACATGTAGTGATTGTAGTAGGATGAACTACTATTAGTACGATGTAGTACGATGAACTACTACTAGGTTTTGCAACGGTTAATTCAGTATCTTTTTATAACACAAATCCAAATACAGGTATATCAGTGTGTGAAAAAAATTAAATATAGTTGGCAGAAAGATCATATTGCCCACAGATGGCGCATGTGAACAGAAACTAGAACATTTCATTTGCATGAGCTCCTATCATTTCAGTGGCTTTAGATTCGCTGAATGAAGAGAGATACAGGACATGTCACGTTGATTGTGGAACAATACTCCCTCAGTGTGAATATTCCTGCCTGTTCATGTCCAGATCTGAATGGAAGACACCTCTTGTTTTTTTCTCTTCTTGTTTATTGATGATGATGATTATTATTATTAATACTACTAATAAGGAAACTTTATTATACTATATACAGTGCTTTTAAACGTGGCTTCTCAAAGCATTTTACAGTGAGAAGAAGTGATAGAGAAATATGCATGTACTGTACACTACAGAATTACTGTGTTGCAACAGGAGCTGACCCTATACAGTAGCTTTGAAGAAAGATGATTGTGTACAACATCAAACTGTTTTTCATAGGTATTATTTTAGTTAGACCTCTAAAATCTAGTCCTTTGCTCTATCAATGGTGGTAAATGTATATTTAATAATAAGACTTTGATTACCAGAGGCCGGAGGTCTGGATGAGTCAGAATATATCCATTGTTTGTGATTGCGAAGGCATATCCATGAATACCGAGCTATAATTATAGAATAAAAAAAACAGCAAAGATAAGATCAGATTGTGCATTTTAAAGAACAAAAAATAATGTGCAATCAAATTCTTGGGAATTTATAGCTTCATTTCTGACATTCACAACCATCAGCAGTGCCATTCATTTAAATTCATACAAAACTGAGGTCCATGACATTTCTTTCCAGTGAAACCCTGTCATTTGGAAGAGTTCAGTAAATAACGCCTTTTAAATGTCAAATATAATTTTTATCTTCAGTTCTTCTGTTTATTTATTACGAAAGGTATTTTGAAATTAATTTAGCCACTTTTTGAGAGACACAGATTATGGTGTTTTCTATTTTTAAAGGAATTTTTAGGAATCACATGACATTTGTAAAAACAGCTTTTACACTTTTGATCATATTATCCAATCCACAAAAAACAGGACATGTGTAACTACTGCATACAATATAAAAATGTTACTCAAGTGAAAATATTAAATGTTAAAGCATGATAGGCTATTTTGTCACTATACAGTATCAATAAGCAAATACAGTATGTGAACTTAAAATATCAGTACAGATAACAAATGCCCTAGGAGTTAACAGTGGTACATAAAATGTTTGTAATTTGTTCATCTGAAAAGTCAGTTAAATATGGGTGACTGTATTTAAAGATTGTTTTTCCGGTTTAAATTTAATTTAATTTTCCTATTTAAAGTATTGCATTTGGTTGACTTTCTATTTTTTAAACAAATGTAAGTATGGATTATGTCCCCGAATATCACGTTACCTTATATTTTGGAATTGTCTTCATCAATTCTTGGACTGGGACATCTGTTCCCACCACACCTAGAAGAATTCCTCTATTTCTCTGCAAAGAAATAATCTTTTAATCTTCAACTGCATTATGGACAAAACTGTTATGGAAGTGGATGGGTTATTCATCAGTTTTTCTTCAAACCACAGAATTATTTTCAAAAGATCAGCCTACCATATCTACTATCATCCTGTTCAAGGTTTCTAAAGAATGCAATATTTTGATTTTGGAACTCGTTCATATACCGAAAGGTGCTTTCTCATTGATTTATTTTTTTATTTCAAACAACGCCTCCATTCTTTCAGCTTTTTATACTTATATCACCAGTGTATTCAAGTAAAATATTAAAAAATTCAACCAATAGAATACTTACAGTCTCATTTTTTGTGCTAAATACAGGCATAGCTACGGTCGTCATCAAAACCGGACCTTGATTTTCTCCCAGCTAAACAATAATAATAAAAAGTGCCGTGTTAATCATCTACCATTTGGCCATAGGCTTGTCATAGCTTGTCATGTAATGTTTCAGATTGGGTAAGTTTGTGGGTGGCACAATGATGTGGCATTGAGCATTTGATCCCACTGCCTTGCAATTTGTGGGTCCCGAGTTTAAGTCTAATCTTGGGGATCGCTCTGTTTTCACATGTTCCCACTGGGTACCCCAGTTTCTTCCCGTACTCTAAAGCCTGGTGTGTCTAAGTTCTGTATGTGTCATACACTGGCATCTCATCCAGGGTGTAGTTCTGCTTTGTGCTCTGTGCCTGCTGGGTAAGACCCCGGCCAGCTGTGACCTTCTTAGGACAAAAGCCATTACAACAGCATACAAAATGGGTGGATGTACACAGTACGTTTGACTTCTCACAACAATCACAGCATTTCTAACATACATCCATATTAAACAAGTAGGTATGGAAAACCCCCCCTAAAAATGTGAAGAGTTAAAAATGTAATAATCTCAAACCATTATCTTTTTTAACAGGTTATTATTTATTTTTGGTAGCATACTGTCAATTGTGAAAAAATTGAATCAGAAAGTAAAGACAAATAATCTGTGACACAACAGCTGAGAAAGAAATCATTCATCCATTTTCCAAACAACTTTATCCAGTAGAGGGTCACAAGGGAACCTGACAAGCAGTGGGCTCAAGGCAGGATACACCCTGGACAGGACACCAGTCCGTTACAGGAAACACACTGACACAAACGTGCGCAATTGCACCCTTGTCAATTAACCCACCGGCATGTCTTTGGACTGTGGGAGGAAACTAGAGCACCCAGAGGAAACCCCGCGCAAACACACAAAATCCAATTCCAGAATTGAACTCAGGGTCCCTGCGCTGTGAGACATCCATGCTTACCACTACACCACTGTGCTGGCCCAGGAAGAAGTCATGACAGAAAAGTTAAAATAATGATAAGGAACTCCCAAGACTGATAAAACCTAAAAGAAAACAATGATTAACAAAACTGCTCCCATCGAATACTCTGAATACTGTAATACAGCCATTTTTTAGTTTGAAAAATGCAATCAATACTAGCATTTGGTTTATTTCTTGATACAAAAGATACGAAATTTTAAAATGATATTTACTATAACTCTCTTCAGCATTAACATCTTTCATAAAATGGTCTTGTTAAAACAAAAGAAGAAAGTGTCATAGTAAGTTATTTGACATTTTGCCACATTTGCAGAAAAAAACTACAGTAACTCCAATCTGGTACAGTCAGTAAAATGCTTTGTACTGTAGGTTTGTCATTTTAAAATAGTGTAAGAAAAAGACAAATTATTTTCTATGGGTCTTAGAAATTGCAGCAAGAACCATCAAATGCGATGGCTATTTAGATTAGCACAGAAGCAAAAAAAAAAACCACACACTGCAGCATATGAATGTAACTCCAAGTTGAAGAAGATTGTAATATATTTATTTTTCACTCGATAAGGAAAGGGGAAGGGAACCATGAAACTCTTGATTCATTGCAATGCACATTGCTTTGAAACTACAGTACACAGGCAAAGCATCACTAATTTGCTGAACTATAACACCATGAAGAAAAATATTTACAGTAAATTAAGGCATAGAGAACATTATGCAGTTAGAACATCTTGTGTTTTTCTCCATCGTAAACAGACAACACAGAGGCAGTTGCATTATTTGCTGTACATCTAATCTGTGTGACAAGTACATCTTATACTGATGTACTGTACAGTACCAGACTTCCAAAACACTGACTGTAGTAGAGATCTACATTAATTTCCTCCTAGGGGACAAAACAAGTTTATCTTATCTAAAGCTCGTTGTATAGGATAAAGTATTTTTTAATAAAAAGTATTGAGTCGAGTTGTTTGCTTAATGAGAGTTAGGTGACTGTTTCCTCTTTTTAAAATAAAGAAGCGAAAACTGAGCGATATTACAATATAACACAAAATTCTTTGGAATGTTACCAAGTTAATATTTGTCATTTTAAAGCACACTTTCATTGTATGGCATACAATGAAAATGTACTCCTTAAATACATAAAATACTATATTTTATAATGGGTCATATCGAAATGTTTTGGATTTGATGGATACAGAATGCCTGTCAGGATCTGAACAGCCACTCTTGGGCTCTTAGCAGACATAGTGTCACTCTTTATACAGCAGCAAACTCTGCTATATCGTAAAACCAGGTCTCTTTGTTTGTGTGAATTCTTCACTGTCTGGGTTTCAAAAGGATGACATCACTTTCTTACACAATGAACCCTGGTTCTTACACAATGAACTGGTACAGTTCCTTAGTTTTGTTCATCTGGTTTTTCTCTTTTTCTACAGAATTTGTAGACCACTTTAATCTAGCTTTAATGATCCCATAACTAAAGGCATTTCCTATAAAAAAACATAGTAAATTTAATCTTAGTATATTTAATCTGAAGTAATTTAATCTATAAAGTTTCATAAAATTATTTTACCCAAGGTATACTGTACTGTAAAAATCTGCAAAAAAGATCCACTCATTTTTCACAATCTGTACTCATCTACTTACTCGATCACACCAAGTGAGTTTTAATTTTTCTACTCCAGTATACTGTATCATGTCTTTGTTCACTTTTCCACAACCGGGAGTTCAATTGTTTCTTTGAATTTTCCAGCATTGTTATTGGGAGGATATCCAAAACGCAAGTTTCAATAAACAAGGATATTGTAACAATTGTATGATGCAACATTTCTAAAGATGATCTTATAAAAATATACAATTCAGTAGAAGAAAAAAAGGAAAGAGACTTGTAAACCTTTCCAGCTCTTTTTACATCTCTTTATGACATGCATCTGCTTCTAATGATATGGCTGCTTCAGTGTATGATCGACTTTTTCTGTGCTTGAACCATCATTAACGGCCTCTACGCATGAGTTTAAAAATTTCTAAGCACCAAAGACGGGTCATCTTTAGAAGTTAGGACTGTCTCTGGTTTGACTTTCCTGGATGGATTTTTATTGAAGTTCTAAACTGAAGGCTGATGACAACAAAGCCACTTTCAATCCAGCAGTTCTAGAACAAATTCATTCCCAGTGTCATTTCTAGAAACTACAGTATATATATATCATATGCAAAAGCCTCATTTTTACAGTTTTGCCTCCTGCACCAGAACTCCACTTTGCATGCTATTCCTTGGTTTACTCTGACTTGCTATAACTAAATACTCAATTAATTTCCTCAGCCATGACCAATTCTTGGGTGTCTTTATTTCTTGTGAACTGTACATTTGCTTATTTCGCACTAAATGATGATATGCGCTGCGCTAAGACAGCCATTTGGATTTTGTTGTTTTCTAGTAGATATGGAATAGTGGTTTCAGGACCAGGCGATGCATTAAGGCAACAGCATGAAATCTTAGAAAAAGGAAAATAACTAGGCTAATCTGAAAGTGAGCACAGCACAGATTTGTTAGTCAGTTCACTTTGTGGTTCTAATCTTGGGCTTAGAGCACATTAAAAGATAAAATAAGCTTAAGGTGTGGGAATGTGTATTTTATTACCATACAGAATTATAGACTACGTTCCAAAGCTAGAATAAAACAGCACACACACACACACACACACACACACACACACACACACACACACACACACACACACACACACAAATATCTCAAGAGGCAAGTTATTTTTTTAATAGCTCCACTTCCCCTGAAGGTACAGGTAGATGCGTGGAGGTCAGAAATACACTCCTGTTGGAAGAAAATTGTGTAGCAAAGCAAGAATGAATTAACTGCAGACCAAGAAGTTAAAACAGTAGCACAGGAGCAGCAGGGCTCCAGACAGGCACTTGAACTGAAGGGTGGAAGAGAATGTAACAGGGGAAAATAGGGCAATAGACTATTCTGGATGCCCAGAAGCTAAAGGAAGGGAAAGAGAAACAATTCTGAAGAAATTAATTACATAAATGAAAGACACTTATAGTTAATTGGTGATTTCGCATACAGGAAATGAATATGCATGAGGTAGCAGTGTGGATATGTACCGTAGGTAAAGTTCTGGAAACTTTGAACAGCAGTTGTTCTTGTGAGCAAGGTACTTCTTTTTGTTCCAGTAAATGTCTAGTGCTTGTTATCCATTTATTCATCTGGTTGATTAAAGGACTAAAAGAATTTCAAATGCTCAGTACATGATCTTGAAACTTGAACATCACCTTTGTGTAGTCACTGTAGATGTTAAATGCCTTGAATTTCCAAACATGCTTGCCTAAAAATCATACAAGCTTAACCTTCCAAATGCTGTTTTTCACCTCGCTAATTCAGTCATGTTTCCACATGTAGTTTCAAGTATATTTGATGAATCTTTGTGCATTTTAACCATTACACTTGTCTATCAACATAATGAATATCAATTTCTAGCTATCAGAATGACATTCTGTGCTGTAAATTATGCCTTATTATTCACAGGAAGTGATATTTCTACCTCCCACATGTACACTGTTCCAATTTTGAGAACTGTCGTCATGCTTATATTAGGATGGTGGCATCCTAAACTTGTTTCAAATTGCGGTTTAAATGCAATTATTTAGTTAAATACACCCAATGTAGATATAAAGGTTGTGGAAAAAAGCAAAAAATGCATCTCAAGAATTATACCTTTATCTTCCTTTGTATGAATAATCATTAATGTATAAAGAGGGTACTTCATTTGTACAAAGAAGAAAGTACACCAGAATATCTTCAAATATTCTGTCATGGCCTGTCAAAATAAATGTATGCACAGGACATATTATTTTAGTTGAAACACCAGTCTGTTTTTAATACACTATACTGTATGTCAAAGGGGTGATTTTTTTTAAATCTTGAAGGGACACTACAAAAAATATAAAATCCTATTTAAAATATTTTAATAAGCAAGGAGACAGTACTTGATTCTCGAATATTTGTAATGTGTAGATTAACAGAAAACATAAACTCTTTAAATGTTATTAATTTGATACCCAATGCCTATAATAAATTATCACACCACAGACTTTTATCAAGCATATTGATAATTTGAAAATAATTCACAGACAGTAACTTCTGTAAAATTCCGTACAAAGCACTGTACCAATGAAATGAAAAATGTACAAAGTAGACATGTAAATTATTCTCCTAGTTTTTAATGAGCCCTGGTTTGTCCAATCTTTGATATTTTGATAAGTGAATACAGCAAAGCTCCCAACTTTTAAAAGAAAAAGAGAAATAGGTCCAAAGAATAAATAATATTTTACACTCTGAATATCTCATCTAATAAAGGAGAAAAAATGTTTCTCAAAACTGACTTCATGCCATTCATTCAGACAAAACATTGTTGAAAGTACTGTATGTCTCCTACAAACAACACGTGTCACATATGATAAAATGTACACATAAAATTTCATTTTTACCCTTAAACTGCATTTGTAGTTTTCTGAAAGCTGTTGTGCAAAAAAAACATATATTATCCTGGAGTGTTTGATGATATTAATTAAGTGCAAACTACTGATTTGATTACAGAATTATTCTTATTTTTTGTTGATTTCGATTTTTATTAGAAGTGAATCCCAATGAAGCACGATCTCTCTCTGTTTTATTAGAAAAAAAAACAAGCCTTTTTGTCTCCATAGGTAAATAGATATTTCAATAAAGGCTACGAGAAACTACAAGGTAAAGTATCAGTCTTACATATACAGAATAACTGAGATGCCTGTACAGTAAAAAAGACACAATGGTGTCAGGCTCTGAGGGAGTCGTCATGATGCATTTCCGTCAACGTGACTCCATAGCTTGAAAAACCATTGCGGTGAGTTCTGGGCTCTTCTAAAGCAGGGAGCAGCAGTTGTATCAAATTGTGATGAACTACTTGGTGATACTGTGGCATAACCCATCGCCCAATGAGAACTGAGATGAGACCACCCACTAATTTCAGTTATGCCATAAACCATATCTGGGTTGCAAAGACAAATAGCAAGGTTATTATTATCAGGGCACCTCCTCCCATAATGATATGCTTCAGGAATGATGGGACTGTAAAGGCTTGAGCTCTTCTACGTACTGTACTAGGTATGACCTCCAAGAGGCCTACAATTGCATACTTGTACATACAGTATACATAATATCAGCACATTACAATATGTAAAAAATATCAAACTAAAAGGCAAAAACAGGAGGCAAGAAAGCTTACAAAGAACTGGACAGCCCTGTGGTAGTTTCATTTTCTGTCGCCATCAATGCCAATTTATTCAGCACTGCAGAAGACAAAAGTAAATGAACCAGAGAATGAGCCAGAGAATGATAAACGATGCTTCTCAGCAGCTGAAATATAGAAGGACCAGGCTTAAAGGACAAATCTACGCTAACTGGAATTCAAGGATACCAGGAAGAAGTCAGGAACGTTCTCTGGTGACAAATCCGCGCAGTGATGTAATCACTGAAACATTTCAGGCTCTTTAGGAGAAGCTCTCTTTTCACAATCTGCACTCTTGTTTTGATCTTCTAGAATAGCTCAGAGTTTCAGCAGAACTGTAGTTACTGTACATACTGTAGGAGAGTAGTGAATTTCCAACTATTTAGATTATTTTGTTCAGGTGACTGATATGAGAGAAAACTATGTACTGTACATATTCATTGTGCAGGATAGATAGGTAAGAACAAGCAGTCACTATAAATGATGAATATGGGAATATTAATTAACTCTGTTTTGCAGTACTGGAAAGTAGAGCATCCTAAATGGGCGTCTAAATCTGCTTCATGTATATAAAGTCATAGTTAGATTGCTCTTAAAAAAACATGGAATAAACCTTTACTTGTTCTTTTGCAGCCAATGCATGCTGGCGCAGCTCCATAATTGAACTACTTATACACTGTGTAATGTATGTCCATATACTGTACAGTACTGTATATACTGTATATGTCCACTTGTCTAAGTTGATATAGCTGTAGCTGTGTTCAGAGTTAACCAATCACATTCAAAATCATGTCCAAAGGTACATAGCATACACCTGCCATCAATGAAAGTGATCCTGATTAACCCCAAATAAAAATCAGCTGTTCCTGTAGTATTTCCTTGAAACGTTCGTGGTTGCATCCAACTGGGATAACCACGGTACACAAGAAGCTGACAAAACATCTATGTGATCTTACTGTTGAAAGGTACCGATCAGGAGAGGGGTATAAAAGAATATCAAAGGCATTGGATGTACCATGGAGCACTGTGAAGACTATCATCAATAAGTGGAGAAAATGCGACACCACAGGGACATTGCCAAGATCAGGAGGACCCTCCAAAGGTGATGACAGGACAAGGAGAAAACTTATCAGGGAGCCTACCAAGAGGTCTGCAACAACATTAAAGGAGCTGACGGTACTGGTCACTCCTTGCGGGCGACAACAATCTCCAGTATTCTGCACATGTCTGGGCTATAGGGTAGGGTGGCAAGATGGAAGCCATTTCTCACAAAAAAGAACATCCAAACCTGTCTAAATTGTGCAAAAAAATACATTCAATCACCCCAAACCACGTGGGAAAATGTCTTATGGTCTGATGAGACACAGGTTGAACTTTTTGGTCTCAATTCTAGAAGATATGTTTGCACAAAGACAATACAGCTCATCATCCAAAGAACACCATACCTACTGTGAAGCATGGTGGTGGAAGCATCATGCTTTGGGGCTGCTTCTCTTCAGCTGGGACAGGGGCTCTAGTCAAGATAGATGGGATAATGACTAGCTCCAAATATCAAGATATTTTGGCACAAAACCTGCTAGCCTCTGTCAGAAAGCTGAAGATGAAGAGGAATTTCACCTTCCAAAATGATATCGATCCAAAGCACACATCCAAGTCAACCAAGGAATGGCTTCAGAAAAGGAAGATCAAAGTCTTGGAATGGCCCAGTCAGAGCCCAGACCTCAATCCCATAGAAAACCTGTGGAATGACCTAAAGAGGGCTATGCACAGGAGATCCCCTGGCAATTTGAAGGAGCTTGAACTTTTTTGCAAGAAATAGTGGGATAAAATTGCAAAGTCCAGGTGTGCAAAGTTGATAGAGGCTTATTCACAAAGACTTACTACTGTAATAAATGCAAAAGGTGCTTCCACAAAGTATTAGTTGGGGAGGCACACTTATGGAACCAGGGTGTTTTAGGTTTTTAAATTTAAATTATTTTTCCTAATTATTATTTTTATTTTTTTTCTCTTGAATTTTGATGGTTGCAAGATGGAACAATGTTTGACATGTTTTATCTTTATTTCTGGCTTTATATCACAAAAACCTGCAATTTCAGTAAGGGTGTGTAGTTCAACTTTCTATTGTCATCAAATAGATGGAACTAATTAGTATAATTATATTAAATTGCATTAATTATATTATTTTAATCAATATAAATAATTTCATCATTCATGTCTATACAGTTTACAGTAAACAAACACCATAACCCTGAAAGTGGTGTCTTCTATACAGTACCTGTATCATTGTGTAAAGTTTGCTATGTCACACTGATACGATAAGCCCTAAAAAACTATACTAATATTAATAAACAATATTAACAAATAGGAGAACCAGCTAGCTTTGTATTGCTAGACACAAAGCAGAATTAGAAATCTGTAATGATAGTTCTGCTTTCTTGTGCTGTGAAATGGACAGAACGTACTACTATTGTTACTGTTGTTATTCCCAATATACTGTACAGTAGATCGTGTGTTTATCCAGTACATAGAGGAAATTAAATTCGATTGTGAAGCAATCATTGCTTCACAGAACACAATTCTGTTTCATACTAAACCTGAAATAAGGTTTGTCTTTTTGTAGCTGTTGCAGGCTAATCCATTTTATTTTGTATAAAAAGAAAATATTTTTATAACTTGCATTTACTACTTTATTTTAAAACAACAATCATCTCATTTTATTATTACATATAAAAAATGAAAATGTTTCCTTGCTCAGACAGTCGTTTTTTCTATTTTTCCTGCATTGGCATAGCAATCCTTTTTTTTTTACAAAATCTAATGCAGTAAAAGTCTGCTTTGAATTACTACAAAAACTACTCTAGATTTTTTTTTCTGGAAAGCAAAACGAACAATTGCAATTACAAATCAGACAGGACAAGTTAAATTTCAGAAGAACTATGTGGATTAATGTTACTGATTGTGCATTGACTCGCTTTTTCAATAACAGAGTAAATAGAGAACAAATGGAGTATTCTAAACGTAATATTGAAGAAACCGTTTTTAAAGTCAATCGATAAAAAAACGTCTTTTAAAGAGTTGCAATACACAAATTATTCTACATTTTCACACCGCTGAGTCTCAAGGGAGACTGAAACTTCAGCATTATCAATACCAGTCTGCAGCACAAAGACACAATATTTTTGAAGACATAAGCCAAACCAGTAAGCTTTGATGGTGGAGATAAGCAAAACAACAAGTAAGCCACCAGACTCCAAGTTAAAGCAGTGATGGATGGCAATGTCACTATTTGATGCAAATCAAACTTCATTCACAATGTGGAATGTTAAAGTGAACAGCTTAAACAAAGCCCTACTGACACGGATATCAAACAGACAGCTTATCACAGAATGAGCACTGGAAGTGCAGCTGATGTTTCTAACCACTGCCTGAGCACATTGTAACCATGACTCTCACCAAACAGCACATGGGACATGAACACACAATGGAGTAAAATCGGAATCAAGGGTTTACCTGTTGGGCCTGGGGAAGCTAAAAGGAAAAAAAAATTAAAAAAACAAAAAATAATTATCATCTATAATTTAACCTGAATAGAAAGTACCTTTCTCTTTCTCTTTTTTTTCCATAGTGGAGAAGACTGGGAGAAATAAAAAAATACTATGCCAACTTTCTTTTTACAGTACATAGCAGACTGTTACAAAAAGTTTACACATTTTTTTGTCACCCAAATGAGTTGTTGGAGAACAAGCACAGCCAAATCAGAAGAGAATTTGACTATTGTTTAAGCAGAGATGACTGTGAAAGCAAACAGAAGGACTTTATTTACGTTAAATTAGATTTAATTTTTATCAGCTTGGTACAGTATAGCTCTGACTGATTTAATGCAGTAGCCAGACACAAAATGCCATCATTAATGAAACTATGGCAACCGCTAACCCTCACTAATCAGAGGATGTGATGTACTGTATGATTAATATTTTTAAATGTGCCATAATGGGAATATTAATTGCTAACATTTTAAAACCAACAGAAAACAACCTGCAATCACTTTGGAAATGCAAAACAACCCCAGCATTACTGAACAGTTAAATCAATTAAATTATGTGTATGCATGTTAGGCTGAAGAACAAAACATAAAGCTAATGCGTGTGACGTGCCTTTTTGACATTTTACACTTTCATAAGAATGCAGGATTATGGAAATTGTATTTCTGGATTTATTCTATAATAGAAATAGAAACACATCAAAATCAATAAAGGAGGACTTCTTGTTGTTTATTAAAATTTGCAAAATCCCTTCTAAGGAACAGCTACTTCTGCTCACTAATTACTAGCCATAATTCCTAGCCACTGAATTGCCATAAATATAGCAATGTCCTCTTATTTAAAAAAAAACAGAGAGTGAGGGTGTTGCAGAACTATAAAAAACATTGTCACAGAACTGATGAAAGGTTCTCATACGTGTCTTTGTTGTGGTTGGCACTCACTATGAAAATAAAGCGAAAATAAAGCAAATCCTGATTACTTAAAATCTCATTTAAAAAGAAATTTCTCCACTGTTACAGGGGAAAGGGGACTATAGCTGAAAAAACCCAGGATAGGCAAGAATCTTAAAGATGCCAAGACAGATTTCAACGACATACAGTACAGTAGCACTCAGAGAAACCACTACAACAAAGTCAGCTGGCAGTGCTTTTCAATAGGGGTTAACTTGGGAAGGCAGCTAAAATTTCAAGGCAGCTAATCAATGAAGTTCCAGTAAGAGGGGAACTTCCACGACCTTCCCATGGTCTATAATTGTTCAATCACACACACAGAACAAATAATGCCGCTCCTACTGGAGATGCAGCACAGGTTTTTGTATCCAGAGGTCATGACACCTGGTCCTCTGCTCCAGAATCACTCCATTGTGTAGCACCATTATTTTAAGTGGCCACATTAATATCATCATGCTAGAAAGCGAAATGGTTTAATGTGTTAACTCTACATTAGTGCATTTTCAAATACAGTCAGTTTGCTAGAGTAAAGGCAATGGCTTTCTCTAGGTCTAAAATAAAAAAAATGTACTTCTGAATGTATACAGTATATAACATGATAGAAATTACTTAACATGCCTGTGCACGCACTATAGGGAATATGGAGAGACACACTGGTATCTGCTCAGCCGAAAAGTATGTAATTACAGCACATACGACATCTATCACCTATTGACTGTGATGTTCTCGGCAACATTAGCTCGCCTACATTTCTCACTGAACACATATTTTTAAAAATCCTGCATACAAATTTTTAACGATAGTCTTGTGCCCAGTAGCAAATTATGCAATGGTTAAAATACAAAATCAAGTTTCATACATAGAAATACAGTATTTCTGAGTTTGAGTGTTAATTCTTTTCTTTATTCATAATCCACACTTTATTTCCGGTGAGATCATTATTTACATGTTTGGTGAATTGTATCTTTAATGAAGTGCAGGCAGCTCTTTAAACAAAACATCATTATCCCTGCACCATAAGATATTAATAGCATATGTTGCAGAATCATTAAAAAGTAAAACACGTTAAACACGTTGCTCTTAAAGAGTTCTTTACTTGTCATGAGCAGGTTGTGTTCAAGGCAGAAAAGAGGAAAAATAATATTTCTAAATATTTAGAACTACCTGGAAAATAGCAAAAAAAAAACTGAGAACTGTTCTGGGATACATGTGAATGAAGTAAACATACTGTGGCATTAAGACTGAATCTCAATTTAGAACATAGTTCTGCCAAATCCATAACAGTACATGCAGAGGAAAATCTGGAACATAAAGGCCAGTTTTAATTTCCTGCATACCCATGAACACTGCTAAGTATTAGCACGAGAATAGTACAAAAAGTAACGGACGAAGGCCACCCTCTTAGGATCTTTATTTAGAAAACTACAAGAGAGAGGGTTGTACTTAAAATGGACTGCACACAGCACAGACAGCATTTTAAAAAATCTGCTGAGGACAATCAGTTGTGCTCTTTGAATGAGACATTATTAGCATCATTAGCTAAACAGAACACTTCATAATTAGCTATGCAACAGCAGGCAGTATTCAAAGGTTTTAGCAATGTTTAACATAAATATGAAAAAAGCAGAAGTGTTTTACACAGCCTAAATCAAGCTGACTCACCACTGCATTCTTAAATGCAGGAACAACACAAGATGGAAAATGAATCCTTCTACTGATACATGCATTTGCATTTCAAACCTACAGAACAAAAGCATTTCCATTTCTAACAGTCATGCACTTGTGTTATGAAAAGTAATACAAGAGTTAATGAACTTCCTAGGCCCTAGGGCATAGAGTTTGTAATGATCTCAGCAGCAGATCTTAAACCTCAAACTTTTAAATTCCCAGTTTTGCAAATGTCTTTGTGTGTTAGTATACCCATGGGTAAATGAAAAAGAAGGATAAATACAGGTTCCAATTTTAAATCTACCATTATTTGGAACATTAAAAAATGTCAGTGGCGTTACTAGATTATTTGCCTAAATTGCCTAAACCACCCTATACTTTACCAAGAATTGTAAAGTCTTGCATTTTCCACACAGAGCTGTACAAAAACTGGTACATTAGTTACGATGTAAAACAAAACAATGTTTTTGTTGCTGTAGGAAAGTTGTCATATTAATTATTGGAAACATGATCATACACTAATTACATAATGATTTCTGTGCTTGTACTGTATATTTAATATATCTAATCATGTTTATAAAACTTTAAGAAAGGAAAACAGGCATACACAAGACACAAATGATAGCTTACAATGTTTGAACACCCCACTATAAGCCTACACCCAAGAACACACTAGAGAGCTGCACAAGAACAAGGAGTTGAGGGGAACAGTTCAGATGCAGACAATCACAAATACAGGCTGATAATGTGAACAGATTCGTTTTAAGCAATTTAAAGCACAGCACTTGCAAAAAACAACAACCATTTTGTAAAGGATAATATGATGTTTCTTCTCTTCATTCAGCTAATTGTCCTTTAGGCTTCAGGGAGTGTGAACATTTTAGTTTCAAGTCTGTTACTCAGATGTCTAACACTGAAGAAGAAGTGGAGCTATCTATAATCTTTGCCAGAGTGATAATGACCGTGGGGTGAAACATGTAGTGTCACAGTATGTTTCACATGCGTCTTACACTGCTACTAAATGCTCATGGGGCTATTAAATTTAATGAACCCATCTGCTGCAAAAGTGGGGTCCAAATACTCAGTTTAAGTCATGCCACACAATACAGATGGCACCCTGTCTTCTTCATAAGTGACAACACCTTTTATTGAGCTTCCTAAAGCATTTTCAACACGATGTTTGGTTAATTCAGTTTCTGGTACAGTATATTAGTGTAGTTTAACATCTCTCACGGAACCAAGGGAAATTGCTCATTGCACTGATAAGCCACTGCAGATGTTCCTGTATACACAGGAGCTGAATTGAAAAAAGAAAACAAAGCCTAAACCATGATTAAATAAGCTCTTAAGATTTCACATGAGCCACTTGGACTGTGTTACATTTATTTTCCGTGCAAGACTTGTTAGCTACTTGTTAGCTTCCATGCACACAAAATACACAGAGGCAATGCACATTTTTTGTCCTTTCTGCAACTTCAGTGGTGCTGTGTACAGTATAACAAGCATCTGGGCTTAGTCATTGTCCATAGAAGAAACTTTAAATGATTTCTTAATACAAATATAGCCTGAGAGCTACTGAACTTGACTAAACTGTACTTATATAATGTACTTAGGATATCACATAAATGCAAAAGAAGTACCATTCTGCATACTACAGAAACCAATACTATGCATTCTGCTGCCCTTATTCTACACCAGAAAGGAAATGTTAGCACTCACTGTGCTGTCAATGTATGCTTCTGTCCAAACAGTGTCATGCTCCTGGTCAATAACCTTGGGTCTGCTTAGAACATGAAGATACTCCATCACATTCTCTTGAACGTCTGCTAGGGTGGAGATCTGAGTAAAATAACCTGTGATAGAAAAAAAATATTGTTTATATGCATTATGTAGTTTTTTATTAAAAAATGTATTTCCTTTTAATGTACACTTTGCCCTTGAGCAGTATGGACTTCATCTACATTTTGTTTCTAAATATACTGTAGGCTGCTTCTTCACAGAAGTGTAAAACAAGAACACTAAACAGCAGTGCTCTGGAATTCCTCTTATAAATAAAAAAGAATATGATCTCATTATCTGTTTGCTTTTTTCAGTAGGAAATCAATTTTTCTTTGAGGAATTTCAGTTTATTTTAAGAAGCACAGTATAAATAATACTAGGCTGAACTCCCAAGTTATTTCACCACCGGTCAGCTCTCAGTGTGTTTGAATTTATATTTTCCTTTTGGCATTTTCTGTGAAGAAAAGGAGATTATAATTCTAGAACAGCTCGACTACCACATCCGCCCTTTCTATTAACTGTTTTCGAAGGGGAAGAAAAGAAGAAAGTGCTATTTAAAAGCTCCTGGAGAAAAAAAAGGAGCTAGTTCAAATTCTCCTGTGATCCATTTTCCAAGCAAGGACTTTCCTGTCCAGAATCCAGTCAGCTGGAAACACTGCAAACTGTCTCCATCAGTGCTGTGCATCCATGGGGAAAATCACTGCAAGGAAAATTGATTTTAGGGCCATTGACCTCCACAACAGCACTGTGCTGCGACCTACCCATCCACAGCTTAAACTGCAGAGCATTTATTCAGCTCCAGCCCTGATCAGCTTTCCAGGCCTATCACTGTGCTCCCTAAACAATGGCATTTCCTGTGACGATCATTACTATAGTTCTGATCATTGCATCGTTACCAAACAGTAACTATGCAGCATGTACTGTAGAACACCTGAATGAAATAAAAGGATTTCTAATCCTAATGAGCTGCTGTTTTTAATATTTCAATACTTTTTTAAAACGTTTTTAAAAATTAGCTTTGGTACATGTACATATAAGTAAAGAAGGAAATACAGACATACTGTATCTATATAAGTGAAGGGCTCTTGCCAAAAATGCAATGAATTATTACTAGTATCAGTAAAACAGAACATGTTCACTTTAAATTCGAACCAAACCCATGTTTACACTTTCATCTCTTTAGAAATATATTCTGATGTTCTGCGTGCGCTGAAGTTACAGGATATTCTAATCACACTAACGGATTGTCCTAACCATGGTTAAATACTGTAATATCCTCAGTGTAGAAGCTAACCCATAACCCTTGTATGGCACAATGTGGGACCAAGGCCAGACCTATTTCAGTGTATTGGAGCTAGAAAGCTCTATTAAAAAAAAACAGCAGCCACTCTAATTTGAGTCAGTATATAAAATCACATCTATGGCGATAACTCTCACTGCCTGCATGATCTAAAGCTGTAAGAGGTAGACAGATGCCTGCTGTTATCTCTCCTCAGGTGGGGCAGCACAGACCAAAAAAGGCAACATCCTTTAAAAGAAAAAAAGAAGCAGAAATACTGTATTCAGGAATTTACTGGAGAATAGCTTTGTGAGCCTTACAGAGCATAAACTGCTCTTTAATCTGACACAAAGCAAACCTGGATTTGGATATCTGGTCAAGTCACAGAAAAAAAAATGGATTGATTTTATTGTTTGGATTTTGTATTTTATATGGTGTTGTGCTGAGACTTGGCAATGACCTACTGAAACAATTATGGCATTTCCTTATTTTAAACAGTATTAGACTGCAGGCTAAGGTGAAGGGTAGACTCTGATTATTTTGGGTGCTTTTCACAGAATCTCCTCCAACTCAGAAGGACAGAATGACTCAGAGCGGGACGTTTATTCCACTGAAGAGCAAACAAACCTTTATTGGCACAAGCCATCCATTTAAGATTATCAGCAAAGGCAGATTCTCGTCCAATTAAGTAGGGGAAGATGCGGACCTGAAAAGTAGAAACAGATATTAGGTGTCAGTCATTTTAATCAGTTTTGATAGCTTCCAATTTATTACAGAAACAAAAATCCTATATTCACTAGGTCCACATTTTCCCACATTTTGTTTGCTGCTGTTGCTAATGGTTAATTACTGTCTTGCTTATTTTATGAAGAGTTCCTTTGTTCCAATCCAGTTACCATGTTGTGACACTGTACAAACACTTCTTAGGATTTGCATAAAAGAACTGACGTTTGTTTGACTACAGACACCGATATATTCAGTGAAAATGACGATAGTTTTTCCCAACTCTCTGACATCCGTCTTCTGCTATCTGTCAAATTAAGAAAACGGCATATTTAAAATTTTGACAATCCTAGAAGAAATTAATGTATAGCCATATACAGTATATAACACAAGAGAAAAGATTTCAATGTGAGATTTCTTTTTATTGAAAAATACATAATTATGACACACTGTATGTAACACAAGAATAAATGGGTATTGAAGAATCATTTATCATGGCATTTTGGTAATATGATGGATGTATAGTGTGTAAATATACCATGCCTTTTCATCAGGAAATAAATAAACAGTACAAGTATAAGATCTTGCCAACATGTCCAAGAGCTTAATTTAAAAGTGAGTTTTTTATTCATGCTAATTTGCATTAAATAATGTCTTGTGGTCTCTTTGCTGCTTGAAGTGAAATTTACTTCAGAAAGGGGATATTTTCCATGTAACTATTACTTATAGAACATTTTTCTAAAGAAAACAACAGCAATATAAATTACCATAGATTTAATGTGAAGTTTTTTCACCTAACAAACTCCATACGAGAATTAAATGAGTCACTGAGATCTATGGCTTACAGTCTACCTTAAAGAACACATAATCCACTGAAGCTTCCTATAAAGAAATACCACTCCAATAAAAAAGGGCAACTAAGGTATCCAACCAGATAGTGGAGAACGTGTGTTAAGGTTCAAAGAAAAGGAATTGCTATCAATGCAATAAATAACAAACTGGTACTGTAGTTCTCTAAAAAGCCTTAAAGGTTGTTCTACAGTGTATGTCATCAGGTAAATGTAGCTTAAGAGACAGCAATATCATCATATGATATTATCAATCCAGATCTTCTAATCTTTGTAATTCCTGTGTGAGAAAATTGAAGACTGTGACCAACATGTTAGAGAACAGAATACAACATGTTTCTATACCCAGACATGTATGAAATATCCTTGCGTAAGTGGGATTAATGTTCTCTGGTAGGCATTCTTCAATTCTGTACAATATGAGGACCTACAGATGTTTTGTTAGTACAGTACTTCACATTAGGGAGAAATGTATGGGAGACACATACAGTACATCAGCTTCATATTGCAAATTCAGCATGGCAGCTGCGTGAATCTCTACTTTAAAAACCTAATGAAGTCATAATGATATTCAAAATCATTCTCCCACAGTTTAGTTCCAGACGGAGTTAGTTAGCTTTACATATACAGTAAATAACACACATTCAGAGAGCACATTCATTTTTGTTATTGAAATTATCTTTGTAAGAGTTAGTTAAAGGACACACCATACTGTAAATGTTAAACACACAATGTTAAAAAATACAGATCTCCTCTGACTTACAGTATCAATGATTCTATGTCTACAAATCTTTTGAAAAACAACATCCTTTATCACATACAGCGATTTCAGCACAGTGTTCTTACAATGTAACTCTGCGGTCTGTAGTCAGTTTGATCCTCAAAAGCTGCTTCTTATAACAGTTTCCACGTTGAATCAGTGAAACGTGCGTTATATTTGTCAATTGTAAACAGCCCCAAAATGTGTATATATCCCTGCAGTTCAACTGAGACAGAATAAATATTTAATAGACAGAGCTAATTAGCGCCAAACTGTTACCTGATTTCTGCCTGCAAATGAATATGAAATGAAAGAGGCTCTGGGGGTTTACTATTAACCTTCATCATCTCTCTGCTTCTCTGATAGAAATTAGGGGTTCTTAATTAGGCTCTTCAAATCGCAAACAAAATAGAATTTTCATAAGTAGCTTATTAAGAACCTAGGACTCTCCTGAGAAAGGCAGTCTATTGCTTCAGATCTCCACATTCAGCTTCTCTCTGAATCTCTAGAACACTCGTGTTGCCCAATTTTCATCTAAAATTTCCCCCAAAATGTAAAAAAGAGCTTGAGCAGTTCCATCTGCCCTTCCTGGCACTGGGGAGTCAATGAACCAGGGCTGCCAGAATCAGTCCTGCATTACCCAGATGTTGGACTGGATTGTGCTTCAGGGTGCACAGCTGTTTAGGTGCTTATTTTAGATCCAGTATTCCAAAATATCCTCAACATTTCCCAGGGTAATACAGTACATGAGTCATTTAACTTATTGTGCTCTCTCTTCATGACCATCTTTACTGTTTCAAGCAAAAATGAAGTCCAATAATTTCTAACTTCTATACAATACAATGTATTATTATTATTGCATGTACAATAATAAAAAATAAAAAATAAATATTACTAGCCATTCCAGTGGATGAAAGATGGTAACAGCATTATCTCTTACATTTGTATAATACATGTACTGTACATCTGTTTCCAATCTGATACACACAGGGACAATTTAGAGCCACTAGGTTGCTCAGCCACATTTAGAAAGCGAGAAAAAAAAACCACCCTTAGACAAAGCTCATATGAATTTGAAGAAAACATGCAAACTTCATACAGAAGGCATTGAAATCTGGAATGTCCAAATGCCAGCAGAAAACAATTTTGGAATTTTTGCAATATAAACCTGAATTTGCCATAACAAGCTACTTGGATTGTCAGTCATTCGTTTAGCTCTTTATTGTCACATTTTTACTATATACTGAATGGTGTAGGTGAAGACAGCAATATATTAAAAATACAAATTGAAATTTGAACTTCATCTCCCATTCGATCCTGCATATAGTATCATAATGAAAGACACATCTCCATACTTAAAACGATAACTCTCAGTATGACAAATTATTTAACATATAGTGTGTCAAAAGGACACATCATGAAGTAAACTACTAAATTTACAAAATGGCAAGATTCAAAAGCAAAAGAAGAAATACTGCAATACAGTACCACAAGCCACATTAACATAATCTTTAGAACTTGCAGGCAATATCAATTTTTGTTGCCCGGGACAAGGAGGGGAAAGGTTAGGGTCGAATTCTGCCGGAAATCATTGTTAGCAAACATTCTGAGGAAGAAGAAAAGAAACACACAAAAACAAGGACCTGACAGCGCGAGTAATAAAGGTAATTACAATGATGAAAGCTCATAAACAGCTTCATTCTGCACTGTCATTCACAGCGCGGGCTGCTATTGCTCATGACGGCCACACGCAATGACCTTTGTCATGCCTGGGGAGGCACGCTCCCCCTTCTGTGACTTGACTCTTACAGAGCAGCCAGATGGGGCAGCTCTGCTTCGTTATTCGTGTCTGTGAAGTGGAAATGCCAACAGAAGGATTCATTACTGTCAGGAGCTTCTCTGCAAAGCTCCCCTGATTTATTAGGGCATAAACTGCTGTTGAGACCATAATGGGACATAAGCGTTCTATAAGGCCTATGAACTCTGAAAGAAATACACACCATTCGCACAGGACAATCTATCATCAGACGTAACCACTCAGTCAGTCGCTCTGAAGGGTTTAGTGCATTGATTTTAATGTACAGATAATCATTTTATTTTAATAGGCCTCATACGTAATGAAGTTAAGTGTAACAGGGTCCCAAGATAAACCTTAAAAATAAAAATAAAACCTAAGCTCCAAACAAGCAGAAAGATTCTTAAAAAAAACATTTTAATCAATTTAGATTTTATTTCAATTTCTGCAGAATACTGCCATTTCATTGGTTATTTACTATAATAAGGTTTTTAACTAATACAATTTTCATTATGGAAAGTCTGGTCCTTCCATTTTTTCTTACTAATGTGAAATTTAATTGCCTGAAAATGTAGTTGATACTGTCTGTAAATCTCTAATCATCCATAATCATATTTGAAAATAAAGGTAAATTTTTCATCCACTAACAAGACAAATGAACACAAGTAAATAAAAATATAAATGTTACAATATTCTTTATAAATAAGAAATAAATATTAACATAGATATTGTTCTAAACCTGATGCATCCCGCAAATGTATACTCTAATTTAGAAATTGATTTTATATTAACTTTTAAAGGGAAGACGGACATTCTTCTTTTTTCAAATCCACATTTCACACAATTATGTAGAGTTAAAACTGGGAACGAGGTCAGAGAATTTTATTTCTGCATGGTAAGGCACAGTTTTGTAGTCTCTAATCCTAATTTTATTTCTTACATTTTCCAGATTTCAAACTTTGAGAGCTAATGCCTGTTTTGCATTTAGGTTTAATAGAAATTATGACGATTCAGGAAAGCAAACACTGTCATAAGATTCTTTTGTTTATTTCTCATATTGGCTGTGGCCTGGTAAAAATTCCACATTAATCTTTCATTCTTCAATTAAAGGCTATAATCATCCAAGGTAACATCCAAGGTAACAAATATGGTATGTATTTGGACTAAGAACTAATCAATGGATAAAAAACATTGAAAACAGAAAAGTTGTGAATGCTCAGACTGGGGGTGATATGATTAGTGCCACTTCTCTGTCTAGCTTCTGTCATCTGACTTGCTAGCAGACTACTCAAGTTTACTGACCACACTAAAATAGGAAAAAAACACTTTTGAAGCATGTAAAAATTATGTCCTTCTGTTGGTAAAATTTCATATATATTCGAGAATTGGCAAAATCTCGCAGAAGACATTTTAGGGACGATGCCAAGATACTGTACAGTAGGTGCAAGTAAAAAGAATGGGACCACAAATTAGGGTGGGTGATGGAATGCCACTCTGGAAAGTGACTGTGCAGAGCACCATGGTCGAGTCTGCCCTGTGCTCTTCAGGATGATAAATGCACTCTCTACTGTTAAATGAAA